ACAGATTCAGATTGCCAGTCTTCCCACTTTCAGGAGCAGATTTTACTACATAAGCTGATCGATTTGATTCCCTCTGATTTCGGGGCTTCCAGTTTGCTAGTTTTCCATGTATCTTCCAACATGTCTCCTATGGTATGGCTTATTACAGTGATCACACCATTGCTTATCATTTGATCGCTGATCCCGAGAAGGAAGAGAAGCACCATCTCGTTTGGTTGTAGTGAGGGCTGAATTTTGTGGGATCATGTCTGCGTTGGAATTCAATGGAGAGTTAAACATTACCTTCCTTTGACTCTCCTCTCTCCGAACTTCAGCAAATGCTTCTTGAATAGTTGAAAGAGGCTTTGTACCAAGTATTCTTCCTCGTACTTCATCAAGCTTTGTCTTAAAGAAGTCAAAAACACGTTCTTTCTACAACATTTTCTCAAATTTCACAGCATCAGTTGGAGACTCCCAACTAATTTCATAAAATAACCCCATCTCCTGCTACAATTCTGTCAGAGTGGTATAGTATTCAGTGACAGTCATATTTTCTTGACGCATTGTGCGAATTGCAGATCGAATCTCAAAGCATTGAGATGTGTTCCCTACGTTTGAATAGATCTCTTGCACTGATTCCCAAATATCCTTGGCAGTTTTGTAGTAGAGATATGTTCTACCAATTTTAGGCTCCATAGAATTGATGAACCATGCCATAACAATTGAGTTTTCAGCATCCCATATACCATAGTTGAGTGTTGTAGTTGATGGCATAGGGGTTGCTCCTGTTAAATAACCAGCCTTCCCTTTGCCTTTAATTACCAGCAAAACAGATTGGAACCACTCACGGAAATTGGTTCCATTCAGTATGTGATGGGTGATTTGCAAACTATGACTATCGATGGTGGAATAGGAAGATGGGGGTGGTTGTTTATTTGTTGTAGACGGACTGATGGATGAATAATCCGTTGATGAGGTTGGTGGAATTTCTGCCATTATTCACAGATTGAAGTGTGAATTAGGTTGTTGTTTTAGTCACCAAAGAACAAGCTTTGATACCATGAAATGAGAAGTGATTTGGAGGAAAATTCACTTTGCTTTCATTATAAATCACTAGGATATATATACAAGAGTATTCCTAAATTAAATCCCTACACATTGCAATATTCCTTAATTACATCCTACATTACAGCAGATTTATTTTAGGGAATTTCTAAAATAAATCTGATGTCCCTGGTCTTAGGAATGATTTCCTAAGATCAATCTGATATCAATCCCAATAAATCTGAGTTTTTTCCTTCTAATCTTCCAACAGAGATTAAGACTTTGTAAAAGACTAGGATAACTAATCCTCACTTGACTAGGAAATAAACCAAACAAGAATAAACTATTAAAGACTAAGACACTAAATTCCTAAATAAGCCCAGACCTTCAAGTAATTCTGGAAATTACTAAAATACCCATGATTTGCAGAACATGCAGAGATTACAATTCTGCCCCTTCTTACAAAATAACCCATAACTCAAGACTGTAAACCGCAAACAGAGAAATCTACCGAGGATGCTTAATTTTTTACCAGAAAGACTTCTTGCTTGATGAAGAATCACTTATTGTAGCTTCAGGTTTCAGAGTGGAGAGAGTTTCTCTAAGGATAACATAGCTACTCCATCATTCTTTGCTCTGACTTTTTGGCAGGATACCATACCATGAAAATGCTAATTCATTCAGATTTCATAGGCGAAACAGTAAGCAACTTGTGTTGGATGACATTTAGGTAGTTTTTTGTTCATAATGTTGTGAAATCCTACTTTAATCTATATCCGAAAGGATGTAGCCACACATTTGGATTCCATTAATTGAAGTAGCACACAGACTTAAGCTTGAATAGCTGTAAGCGGTATTTTTAATCTTGTTGCTAACAATTCACTTCAAGGCATGTCACATAGCTGTACAACAGGTAAGTTCATTGTCATAGTGTTCTTTTCTTTAGTTGTCTATGGTCTAATTCTTGAAATCTCAGCCATGCATTTTCTCAGCGTTCTTTTTTTTATCCATCTCAGGGTTCTTATTTTAATAGTAGGTTATGCATTCTAACAGTTTTGTAGTTTAAATTTAGCTTTCATTCATAATGGATTTTGTGTTCATCTCTAGGCATGTTGGTCGAATAGTTATAGATGAGTTATCTGTTCTTCTCTGATGCATCGTGAATAAAAATTTTGGTTTCTTTTGTACCAAGATTAATGATCTGGTCTGCTTTTGGGAAATAAAACTGCCTAGAGGTGACTCATGTATAACTACATGATCATTAATTAAGGAAAAAAGACGAGACTGTGCATATGCAATGTCCTCACTGATATAAACATAGGGCTTATCATATAAATACGCAAAACACAAAAAGGAGATGGCATCGGTGCAAGCACTGGAAAATTGCTGTTACGTTCACATGATTATGCAGATGTGGTATCCATGTCATTTTGCGTTTTGTATGTTCGAAATGGGTTCTTGACCTGCATCTGATCTATAAATTCTTGTTTACTCGAGTCTCAGTGTAATGCATTTCCCCTTTCAGCGTATCATGGGAGGATGGTATGATTAGGCAGCATTGCTTTTGCACTAATTCCAGTTTGTCAAACACATTATCAACGGCGTCCTTGAAGGAAGTTTAAAACCGTCTTTATTTCGATGTATGGTTCAAGTTTTTAGCTGTATACGTGCTTCGTAGGTATTATCATATTTTGCCAGATGGTTTAAAAAAGCTGAAATGCCCTATTTTTCCTAAACTTTAGTTCATTTGAAAATTAGCTTTTAAACTTTTAATTTGTCTTTATTTCAATGTATTGTTCAAGTTTAGCTTTATACTTGTTTTGTAAGTAGTATCATATTTTGTCAGATGCTTTGAAAAAAAAAAAAAAAAGGCAAAGCTGATCATACTTCTCTTGAACTTTAGTTCATTTGAAAATATTTTTTCTATATTTTAATTTGTAAAATCGTGAACCTGATTTGTGTTTTGATCTCTTCTAACTTAATTTTTTTTAGATTTAATTCATCATATGATTTTCAGCTATCACTTATCTCTTCTAAAAAATTCTGTTTTTCGTATTTCGATTTAAAGTTTTGCACGAAAGTGATGAAAAATCCAATCTATTTTTTAAGAATTTTTCAAGATTGATAATTATATTTGTTTATTTTTTAAACATTAAAAGTGTAGAAAATTAGGAAAAATAGAAAATAATATGGAATGTTCTTGAATTTTTTGAAAAGCTCCAGATAAATTTTAATGAATAATTTATATCTTATTTATGTAGTTATTTTTTGGATAAATGATAGAAAACAGAAAGATGGATTAAATTTTTTTTTAAAATAATAAAGTTTAGGAAAATTCGACACACAAATTATGAGATAAATAATAGAAAATTGAAGGATGGATTAAATTTAAAAAAATATATATAAAGCTTAGGAAGGTTAAAACAAATTAAAAGTTTAAAAATTGATTTTTAAATAAATTAAATCTCAAGGAAGCTTGGTCTTTTCCCCTTTTAAAAAATTTACAATTCGAAGTTAGGGATGAGTCCTCCTCAGTGGCGTCCTTTTTATGTTCTGTTGGTCGGACCCGTTAACCAATTATTAAAAAGTTTAAAACCCTAAGATGTCTTTTTCATGTTTACGTGTTATACGCTTCTGATGTGCTTATTATATTTTGCCAGATGCTTTTAAAATTTACGAATCAAAAGTTATGGATGATTCTTCCTCCTTGGCGTCTTTTTTACGTTTAGTTGGCAGAACACGTTAAAGACATTATCCGGAAGTTTTAAACTCCATGTGCTACGATTTTTTTCCAAGTTTACCTGTAATACGCGTTTAGTACGTATATTATATTTGACTGGCGATTTTGAGTAGTGTTTCTAGAAGTTTAAAATTTTCGTTTTTCAAGTTTAGAAGTCGCACGCGTTTAGTAGGCAGTAGGTGCTATTATATTGTCTAGATGCTTTAAGAAGTATTATTTGTGACTCATTTTTCTTCGATGGGTAGCGTTTAATACCTGTATTGTATTTGACTGAGACATTTGAGAAATGTTATTTAAAGTATTAAACCTCAAATGTTTTTGTCAAGTCTAGCTGTCACGCACTTAGTAGGTGTTTTTATATTGGCCGGATGCTGTTATGAAGTATTTTTCAAAGTTGATGACTCGTTCTTCTTTGACGACGAATGTGTTCAAAGTTTCATACTCAACCTCGGTAAATGGCGTGTTTAGGACGTCTTATATACGGGTCATGTTTACGACGTATTATTTAACTCCTTTTCCAAGTTTACCTGTAATACGCGTTTAGTACGTGTATTATATTTGACTGGCTATTTTGAGTAGTGTTTCTAGAAGTTTAAAATTTTCGTTTTTCAAGTTTAGCTGTCGCACGCGTTTAGTAGGGAGTAGGTGCTATTATATTGTCTAGATTCTTTAAGAAGTATTATTTGTGACTCATTTTTCTTCGATGGGATAACGCTTAATACCTGTATTGTATTTGACTGAGACATTTGAGAAATGTTATTTAAAGTATTAAACATCAAATTTTTTTTCAAGTCTAGCTGTCACGCACTTAGTAGGTGTTTTTATATTGGCCGGATGTCTTTATGAAGTATTTTTCAAAGTTTATGACTCGTTCTTCTTTGACGGCGTATGTTTCAAAGTTTCATACTCAACCTCGGTAAATGGCGTGTTTAGAACGTCTTATTTGTGGGGCATGTTTAGGACGTCTTATTTAACCCCCTCTTCTGCTTGCCGCTGTGTCCAACTTCTCGCATTTTCATTAATTCTTGCCAAGTTCGCTTCTAAAGAACTCGAGTCCTTGCAAAGTTCATCTTGAAAAAAACCTGCGTCCCTTCAGTCTGAAATAATAAACCACAATATGGTCTGGTTCCTTAGTCAATCCTGTCTGGCCGTATTTTTTGGCTTTATTGGCTCTCTATTTGCTTACATGGACAAAAAATTCACAGCTTCTAATCCCTTTGACGAACTACCCTTACTCATGCATGCTTCTCTAGTTGCAGCCGTCATCGCCTTCATTTCATCCATGTCATTGATTCGTCTAACAACAGCTAACGAAGGAACTTTGCATCTAATATTAAGGTATGCGGCTGCCATTTCAGGGTCACTTTGGATGATTTTTCTAACACTGGTTATCTCACCAGTTTTGGGATGGTGCCTTATGGGACTAATGGCCTGTGCAACTGCACTAGCAATAATATATGAACGTGAGGCCGGCGCTGACACGGGTGCAGGCGCTGGTGCTGGTGCTGGTGCTGGTGCAGGTGCAGGAACAGGCGCTGGTGGTGGCGCTGGTCAGGTTGATGGAGATGGGGCACGAGACGTGGCACTAGCAATAATATATGAATAAGAGGCCGGCGCTGACACGGGTGCTGGTGCTGGTGCTGGTGCAGGTGCAGGTGCAGGTGCAGGCGCTGGTGCGGGCGCAGGTGGTGGCGCTGGTCAAGTTGATGGAGACGGGGCACGAGTCGAGGGCCAAGTCTAGATGTCTGTCCAGTAGATTGTTTCTGCTGAGATAGTCCCCAAGGATCATATCTATGCTGGTGGTGTGTTGATGTAGAAATTAGTCTAGTCTTTTTTTTTTTTCCCTACTGTTCTGGATTTGTTGATGTTGTAATCTTGAATTTAGTTTCTGTTGTGACTTTTCATTAAGGATTTGTGGGTATTTCATTTGTCACTTTTCTCGAATGAACTAATAAAATTGTTTTTGTTTCACGTTTTGCAATTATAAAGTATATTTATTTTTTGTATCTCGAAAATTTATATTATCATATTGTAGCTTGACTACTTAACTTTGAAATGGTGCTAGTAACGATTAATAAAGTAAAATTATGACTTGAAAATACATTATTATCTTGAAAAGTGAAAAACACTATTCACTTTGTAATTTATTATACTCCTATGAAAGCTTAAAAACATTTTACTTGCTAAACATTTGAAGAATTTATCTTATTATTTTATTTAATTAAATTCTATGTAATTGTAATACTTACAAACAATTGAATATAATTTAAAAAAATAAAAATTATCTTTCTATATCGGTTGATGCAGTGCTCCATATGAAGAGTCCATATATAGGAAATTATATTAAAGAAATATTTGTTTTAAAAGAAGAAATATACGCTCGTCAAAATCAATACTGACTAGCAGTTAATTTTTATTAAAAAAAAAAAAAAAATCCGATGTATTACAAGTCTTTTTTAAGAGAAAAATCTCATTTTAAATTGATCAAATATTCAGAATTTCTTACTTTTTAATACTAGTCTATTTATTATCTATTTAATACCTGTAAAAAATAATTTATCAAAATATTTTATTTTAGTCCTTGTAATTTTTTTAAAAAATAATTTGGTCCTTAAAAGTAATATTTTCTTACAATTTTGGTTATTTGGTCCTCAGCTTGTTATAAAAAATATATTTTGATCCCTGTTTTATAGATTTTATGCAATTAGATCTTAGATTTTTTTTAATTGAATTATATATATATAACATGTCATATATTTAAAAGTTAATGCACCACATCATTGTCGCGTAAGCTCGAAACTAATAATATTATAACGAAAACTTTCAAGCGACACAAAATAAAAAATAAAGATCTCAATCAATATAGAAAAGAAATACATAATTTCAATTAAAATAATTTAAAAAATAAAAGATCTAGATACGGACAAAACACAAAAAAAATAAAATAATAATAATAATAATAAATCTGACTGGGGAAAAAAATCTATCAATCAACCAAGAAACTTTGACGGTGCACGAAGCACATAAAACTCTGTTGTTCATATTTATTAGGAAGATAGGGAACTGGACATCCTTAATCAGGTTCAACATTTTGGCCATGACTCGAGAGGGTAAGTGTTAGAATCGATTCAACCAAATCCTCAACAGACCAATGAGCCCCACGCGTAAAAAGAGTTAAGGTATCTGAAGAGTAAAAAAGGCACGAGATAGAGACATAAATGACAAAATTGACATTATTGCTTAGGAGGAGAAAAAAAAAAGAGCAAAGGATTACATATCCTCTTATAGCATCTCCAATTATGCTCTCTACTTTTAATTAATATTTTTAATATAAATAAAAAATCATTAATTATATAGCTTGAAGATCAATACGAATGCTACTTTCTACTTTAACTCTTTATCTTGACAAAAGACATAAAACCTAGAAAGATTATTAGTAAAGAGACTAAGTGGCATAGGAAATAATAATTTTCATTAATGAAATATAAGATAAAGAGTCATTTGGACTCTCTAGTATTGGAGAGCTAAAGACACTCTGTATCTTAATTTTAAAAATATAGATTGTGATAAAGAGAGCATTGAAGATGAAATTTAAGTCAAACCTCTTTATTATAAAAAAAATCTTAATATAAAGAAAGGATTGAAGATGCTCTTATCCCCGAGCACTTTTTCTCTCCGATGCTAATAGTTCATTAAAAAAAAAAAAAAAAAACTCCCTAAGCCGGAATCACTAACTGATACTAATATAATACTAACTAATTTTAATTTAATATTATATTTTAATACTAATAGAATAGACAAAAATAGAAAAGAATTGTCTTTTTCGTGTACTTTTTCCGATTTCATTGCTATTGCATGTCCTTTGCAATCGATTAGATTGTTTTCATCTTGCTAGAACTCTTCCTTCTGCATGTTAAATTGGATGATTTCAAATAAAAACTATTACAACATAACGAAAATTGATAAAAACAAACAGAATGATTATCTGAACAACTTAAAAGATCACACACTCTTTGAAGAACTTTGAATATAATGGATTTTAATAACATATTTTACATCAAAACTATCAGACTTGTGGTAATATAGAGCTTGAATTATCAATTTGATCTATTTTAGATAATAAATTATTATTATTTGGATAAATTTTGTCCTTTTTCGTTACTTCCAACAATTAAAATTTTAACCGTTAACTAAAATCCTTAAAACAATAATTTTTTTATCACTGAAATTAGTTAATAATTATAAAAAACATAATTGGACTTGGATAAGTGAAAACTATTCAAGTTTTTTTTAAAGCAATTTTAAATGTAAAAAAAAAAAAGAACTAAAATAATTTGAATATTTTTTTAAATATTCCAGTTTGTTGTAATCATGGATTATAAGGGGAAAAAAAATCTACTTTAGAAATTAACTAAAGTAATGACTAATTCAAATGGTTAGAGAGGAATTTTTTTTTTTAGTATTTCAATCAAAGATATTTCAGTAAAAAAATATATATTTATGATCGAAATAATAAATTAAAAACTTAAATATTATTTATTAAAATAATAAATATAATTAGAAATGTAAGCACACGTGAAAAACTCTAATTATTATACAAATACAAATTGAGTTATTTATCCTTTAGTTTTTATTAAAGTATTTTCTTTTTTATATATATTTTTATTCATATTACGAGATTAAGCTAACCAAAAAATATTAATATTACCAATGGAATAATCATAGCCTAACGACGTAAAATATCCAAAAGAACTTAATAATAACAATAGTAAATTGTAAAGAGATTACATCAAAAACATAGATTGAGTAGAGTAACAAAATTTACCTAACCCAGTGATTATTTCCTTGTAGCCTTTGCAGGATTTTGGCAACTCCTTCCTTTTTGGGCCCCTGGCACATGCCTTCCAGAATTCCTATACAAGCAATTCGATCTTTTTTTTCCCCATGTATAACAATATCATTTCCTTTTTAACAAGTCTAACCGGATTTATCTTAAACTGTCGTGTAATTAGGATTAAATTATAAATTAATTCTTTTAATTTCCAAAAACGAAATAATTATTTATTGTTTTAAAAATTAAATTTTTAATCATCATTGATCACGTTTAATTTAATTTAATTTTAAAATATGTGTTTTTTCTCATTAATCTTTCCATAATATTTATTTATTTATTTATTATATGTTTAAAAATAAAACACAAAATAAATTGATAAAGAACATAAAATGCACCAAAAAAGAGTGAATGATTAATTTTGATGAGCTTTGCTAGATGAAAATATATGTAAATAAAGTAGCATGCACTTAAGCATTCAAGACAGTTTGGCCGAGTGGTCTAAGGCGCCAGATTTAGGCTCTGGTCCGAAAGGGCGTGGGTTCAAATCCCACAGCTGTCAGTATTTTGCTATTTTTTTCATGCTTGTTTTGACATTAATTAATATGCTCATTCTGGATCAAGAATTTTCTTATTGTAGCTTGGGCATTTTGCGTGGTTGATAACAAAACCTTTGGAGCCTTTTGGGCAGCCTAGGCCCGAAGAGGACTTTAGGGTAAGAAGGTCGAGGAGGCAAGCATTGCTGGTTTTCCCACCCTTGTCCTGGCAGTATACCCTGTTTATTGACTGAACCACTAGCCTATATGGCCAGAGAAATATATCTTCAGGTGGCGCCACTCACCCTCATCATCATTTTCTAACATCTCAAAACTCCATGGTCCCATTTCTGGCACTTCCTAATTATCCGTAAATAAAGTAAGCAGCCCTAAGCATTACTCTAGTTAGATCCAGCTAAAACTTTACCTTATATGGACAGTAATCCAATAAATCCTCCTCAACTCACGTGCAATAGGCCTGTCTTCATCCATCCGACTCTAGAATCTCACTGACCATTAGACAGCAAAAGTTTTTTGCCAATTGGATACAACTAAAACCCTGCTCTGGCATCTACGCGGAGTAGAGACTAGAAGAGTCCAACTAATCACAAGAAAAGACAGGAGCTAATCTTGTCTAATTACGCTATTACCTCAACAGAATTACATTTTATCCCTTAAAAATTGCAAACCTAAAAGAAGTCCCCAAACTATAGTGGCAAATCTCAATCAGGTCTCCAACCTATTTTTCGTTCAAAATACATCGGCAATGCATGATTGGATTTTCAATCAGATCCTTTCGTTAATTTCAGTTAATAAAAAATATCAAATATCTATGCAAGACTCATGTGACCCCCCCCCTCTTTTTTAATAAAAAATGTTAATTTACTAAAAACTAATCTCGTCGTGATTCAAGAGACTATATATATAATAAAACTTTATGTTTTTGGTCTACCACATGACGTGAAGTGAAAATCTTAATAAATTTGATAATTTTTATGCAAAAAAATCTTGCGACTTCTTGAATAATGACATGCTTCACTCAAACCAATAAAATGATTTGATTGAAAAATCATCAATACGTTAAAGATTTAGTCGACATGAAAATTAACCTCATCATAATTCAAACGATAAAAGAAACTACATGTATAAAATAAAACATTTATTTTCTTTTACAGTTTTTTCGATCTATCACACATGGCCCAAAGAAAATATCTTGACAAATTCAATGGTTTTCTTATGAAAATGAGAAACCATAAAACATCTTAAGTACTAACATGCTTCACTCAAGCTGATAAAAGAATCTGATCGAGAAATCATGGAACCATTACGGATCTAATTGAGATAAATAAAGTTCAGGGACCTAATGCTTTTACAAGGTTTGCCGGAAAAAAAAAAAAAACTGCGGAACACTGAACAAGCCAGCTCACGATTTCTCTCTTTTCTCTCACAGAATCCCTCTTCGTGTTTTTTTTTAGACGGTGCTGTTCTTCCCTCAAATTCGTTCTCTCTTGGGTACCAAACGACACATCATGCCCATCGATCCATCCTTCTTGTCCTTATCCTGTAAAAAACTAATTTCTTATTACGAATTCTGGCTGCTCTTTCAGGACATGCTGGAGTCTTAGCAAACAGATCCACACTTGGTTTTCTTTTCTTTCTTTGTTTTTCTCTCTCTACACGCCATTTTTTTAGAGAGGGAAAAAATCACCACCGTCGAAATGGCATTTCACCGGCGGCGCAACCACTATTACAACCGTTTCCGGTCTGTTCTTCCTTTGATATCCGCTATTTCTGGAGTTCTTCTCATTCTATTTGGTCTTCTCTCATTTCTCGCTCCTACTCCGATTGATACTAATCATCCCCATCATGAGACCTTGGTATTGTACCATACCGTAGACTACATTTCTCTCTACGCATGCCTACGCGTATAAGTATTCGATTATGAACTTTTCTTACTTGTCTTTTTTGCTTTTGTGTTCAGTTGTACTCTACAAATGATGCTGTTGAAGATACGATCGGAGAACCTGTTCTTCACATACCAGTTAGGGTTTATATATATATAATCTTTTTTAATGACGCCATTATTTGGTTTTAATAGGATTTTTTTTCTTTTTGCTTAATGTATTTTTTTTTGGGAGTAATAGAAAAAAGGGAGGAAGGATCGTGATATTTGGAGCTCGAGAAATGCGAAATATTACTATGGATGCAGTAATGCTAGCAGCAAGTTTGCTAGTAAGTAAATCTTCTCAAATTTTGAGACTTTTTCTTTTTTGGTTTTACAGCTCTTGCACATCAAAACTAAGTCCCTCCGGTCGAGCCCTGAAATTTCTCTCCTGATCCCTTTTAATAGTTGTGCTTATAATCATAAAACAACAGTTTAAGTTACTAGCATTGGATGAGCTGCTTCATTTGAGGGTTATGTAATTGTTGCTAGGTTGTATTTGGTTCTTGTGAAGTGAATATTCTTTAAGAGTTTTGTCTTTATTTGTAATTTTTTTAAAACTGAGCTTTGCCGATCTTGTTGTAGATGCTGATGCTGTTACACGACCCAGTCGGTACTTGTTGATTGCTACCAGTGGAGGCTTAAATCAGCAAAGGACTGGGGTAAGTTGGTTTATTTGAGATTTTTGTTCCTCTGTTCTAAGGGTTCAGTTTATGGTTTGATCATGTAATTGATCTTTGTTTGGATGTTTGCCGCCTTTTTACCTGGTATATTATGCTGTAATCTAATGCCCCACCAGTATCCGATTAACCCCTTCTGCCATTTTATCTATGGCTCATGCTGGTTTATTCATTGATTTAATACTTGTTGAATCTCTTGAGAAAAAGAGAAGCAAAATGGTGGACTCAAAAAGGCAAGGTTCTTATATAAACGAGCTACAAGATAATAGTGCAGTGCTTTAAAACCTACAAACTGAGAGCACTCTGTCACTCATGGATACGCTGCACTAACTTGTAATGCACGCTGCTTAATAGTTTTGTGTATTAATCACACACCAAAGGAAAACTCCCTTCGTCTGCACCTTACCGGATGCTCACTTGGAGGCTGTGTCTTGCACCAAATGTGCTAGACCCTCTTATGTAGCTGTTAGTTGTCTCTGAGTTACCAACTTCAAATGTGTACGTTATTTTTAGAAGGTTAGCAGTAGACAGAATAAAAAATGTGGCAGAAATTATTGTGGAAGGTAAAATTCCAGAGGAAGAAAGCCTCAAGGGACGAGAGAGATTAGGAGATATGTAGAGGGAGATCAGAGAACTGTTAATAGGGGGCTCTTACTAGATTGACATTCCAGTTAATATAGCATTAGGGAAACAGTTTGAGTTTCTTAGTCTTTTTAAGGCATTCATTTTAATTTATCCTAGTTGTAATTTTGGGATTGAGTGATGCTCTTACTGGGATGTTTGTTTTCTCGACTGACTTTCAGGTCATATTTTACTGTTGCTTCGGTGCATGAAAAATATATATATTTTGATTAATGTAATATATTTTTCATCAATGTTTTGCTGTGGGCATTTATGTTTCAGTGAACACTTTTGCAGATTACAGATGCTGTTGTTGCTGCTCGTATTTTGAATGCTACTCTTGTTGTTCCAAAGCTAGACCAGAACTCTTTTTGGAAAGATTCAAGGTTAGTTATTGAATGAGCATAACTGAAACCTTTATTTGGGATCTTCTTGCAATAATCGGCAGGGACTTGTGTTGTAATATGAGATAACTGTTATTTTACTTTCTGTAATGCAGTGATTTTTCAGAGATTTTTGATGTTGATTGGTATATTTCTTCTCTGGCAAATGATGTCAAAATCATTAAATCCCTCCCAAGAAGGGGAGGGAAAACTTGGATTCCACATAGGATGCGTGTTCCAAGGAAGTGTAGTGAGAGATGTTATCAAAATCGTGTATTACCTGTTCTCTTAAAAAGGCATGTAAGTTCTTGTTTCTCTGCAACCTTCTGATTGATTGCTTTTATATGGTACAATTTTCAACCATGGAAAATTAAGTTGGCAGAGTTCCATCTTTCCTTGTATGTCTGCTCTAGCAACAACACCGATAGTTTGTCAAATTGGTTATGTTTAATTGGTAATAACATCCTGTTTGCCTTGAGAACCATTATGATCAGGATAAAAAATGTCTGTGTTAGGTCATATGAGTCATTATCCAAGTTAACGGGACATTCTCAAGTGGTGAATTAAACTGTTTGGACATTGTAGAGGAAGTTTGATTGCACAACATTTGACAAACTTCTGTTTTGATCAAACTGTGAACTCATAAATTATTATTGCTGATTAGGATATGTATCTTTATGTCAAGCACTTTCTTTCTGTGGTTGAATTATCTGCTTATTTTAAGAATGACTTGACTTCCTGGACTTAATTCTGTGACAGGCAATTCAGCTCACAAAGTTTGATTACAGACTCGCAAATAAGTTGGATACACAATTGCAAAAGTTGAGATGTAGAGTCAACTACCATGCTTTAAAGTTTACTGATCCTATTCTTCAAAAGGGTGAGAAATTGGTCCATCAAATGAGGATGAAAAGCAAGCATTTCATTGCCTTGCACCTGAGGTAGTCAAATTCATTTTCTAATAAAACTGGCTATATTTCCTATTAGAAAAATACTAAACCTGCTATTCGGAGTTTCACCTATTGCCCTGATCAGTGGAGCCAATGGACTCTCTTATATAAGACCTATGTCTGTGCGAGGTCCCCTGATCTGATCTATGGTGATGGTTAAGAAACTATTTTAATTGTACAGTTTAGCATCAGTCTGCATGATGGTTAAGAAACTATCTTAATTATACAGTTTAGCATCAGTCTGCTGGTTGTCACTGTATTATTTAATTGAAGTATTCGTCCTTTGTCCATTTTTTAGTTAAAATGATCTTGTTTGTTTGTATTTCCTGGGTTTGTTGATTAAATCAGTTAGGATGCATATTTTGAACTCCTAGTTGAAACTATTCAGCTTAAACTCTTTACCTGAATCAATCAAAGGCTGCCACTTTGTCTGCACCTGTTCTGGCCTGTACATTTGCATTCACAGTGTCACACCCTTCCTTGTTACTGCATACAGATTGCTGTGTGAGACTTAAAATTACAAGTATGAAATCATGTTGACACTGACATGCATAAAACACGCCTACCTTGTTTACTCTTGTTAAATAGTAAATAAGAACACCTGTTTTCATTGTATTTTTAATTTCCAACTGATGACTTCTAAATTCAAGAAGCATAATTTACTTGGACAAGCAGTACAAGTTGTTGTTGTTTTTTTTTTTTTTTTTGAAGCAGCCAGATGTTGCTTGCCATAGGTTTGAACCTGATATGCTGGCATTCTCTGGATGCTATTACGGTGGAGGAGACAGGGAAAGGAAGGAACTTGGTGCCATAAGGAAGAGGTGGAAAACTTTACACGTAAGGCTCAAGTGATGTAATCTATTTTTTTTTTTCAAAAAAAAAAAAAAAATCATATTTTCAGGTTCAAAATTTTGACAACATGAAGCTCAGTTTTAATTGAAGTTATTTATTTCTGAAGCATTTGGAAATTCTTCCAAGACTGTCAATATAAGGAAGTCAAAATTCGGTTTAGTGTTGAATCTAAACCTAAGTAATTTTCACTTCCCTAAGTGAATTGATTTAGCTTCTATTTTGTGTGTTTGTACTATGGATCTGGAGCATCTAACTTGTATGAGTTTTGTCTGTATACGTTTGCAGGCAAACAACCCTGATAAGGAAAGGAGGCATGGAAAATGCCCACTAACTCCAAAAGAAGTTGGTCTTATGTTGCGAGCACTGGGTTATGGCAGTGACGTTCATATTTATGTGGCATCCGGAGAAGTGTATGGAGGGGAAGAGACATTGGCACCCTTAAAAGAACTCTTCCCAAACTTCTATACAAAGGAGACTTTAGCCAGCAAGGAGGAACTGGAACCATTTTCTTCATTTTCTTCAAGGATGGCTGCACTTGACTTCATTGTTTGCGATGAAAGTGATGTATTTGTTACTAACAACAATGGTAATATGGCTAGAATTTTAGCAGGACGAAGGTAGTTGACTTTTCCTTCTCTTTTCTCTATTCTTCTTTGACTTGTTGTCTGTTGTTGGAAACTAATTTAGATGTCCTTAAATTGCAGGAGATATTTTGGACACAAACCCACCATTCGTCCAAATGCTAAAAGGCTTTATAGACTGTTCTTGAACCAAACTACCATTTCATGGGAAGCATTTGCCTCTAAAGTGCGTACTGCTCAGAGGGGCTTCATGGGGGAGCCAAAGGAAGTCAGGCCAGGCAGGGGAGAGTTTCATGAGAACCCACACACCTGCATTTGTGAAGATAATAAAGCCAAGGCAAAGAAAAATTCAGGACCTAGAAAATATGGGAAGGGGTATGATGCACTGGGAGATGATGTACCAAGTGACTATCAGAACATTGACGATGAGCCAGAATTGCCTGATCCTGATGATGATGGATACCAAGATGGTCCTCAAGAGAAAGGTCAGTTCAATGAAACAGGTATGGATTATGATGGATTCACCAATGAAGAACCTGAGTTGGAAGAAATTCTTTCAGACTAGACAGAGCTACATTGGGTTCTCCACGTGCTTAAACAATTCTTTTGTTAAATGGTCAAAAAGATAATGCTGCGTATTCCCAACCTGCTGTATATAAAACCTCCAGGATAGAGCCCCCCTCTAAAAAAAAAAAAAAGCCCCCTCTTAAAACAATGCCACGATATGAAGATACAACACTGAGCTGTTTCATTGAGTTATTTATGACTTAGGAGTTACGAGCATCATCCCTAAGGTGTGATACTTGAGTTTTTAGAGTTCAGCCTCTTTGCTGTGAAATTCAGGAAATGGGTCCGAAGAGAGAGTTGGAGTTAAGGGTTCAGTCTTTTTGGTTTAAAGTCCTGCCCTATTGATCGCTAATGCCTCACTGCTTGTTCAACTGTTGATGACAGATTGTAAAATAGTCCTCTTTCTGAGGGGGAAACCGGAAAAAAAAATTCAAGGAAAAGAAATAGTTTGTCGAATTTTATTCCTTTTCTTTTCGCCCTTTTGGTATTTTTCTTTTCCTTTTAGTGTTTTAAAACTGAGATTACTGACTGCAAAGCTGATGCAGGTCGCATGCATGTACATTACATTGCTTAGTTACTTTTTTTTTTTAAAAAAAACATTTCTTTGGACGTTAGTCATTCGTGATAGCTGGAGAATTTGTTGTAAAGACTAGAAATATTGAAATTTTTGTCAAGTTAATTTATGAAATTGGCATCTTCGAAACCAACATTTCTCTCACAAAATCGTAGTCGCGATCTATGTAAGTTCAAATGTCTATTTCAAGTTATACAAAGTAGGAGACGTGTACTGATTCTTCAGATCGTTGAATGCATGACAGATACCACAGCTTTGCCTGAGTTATGAAAGAGGAATTGAACATTGGTTTTGCGTACTGCTCTCGGAGTTTCTAATATTTTAGAGGATTCAATTATTTATTTTAGAATTGTTGGGTATTGTTTCCCTCTTTCACGTGACAAAAAAAAAAAAAAAAAAATCCCTGTCATGGCGACTACTAAAGGGAAGTAAATTATAAACTGGTCAATTTATTTTTGAGAAATGAATTGATTAGTCTCTCTTATTTAAAAAATTAAATATTTAATTCCTTAACCAGTATTTATAATCTTTAATTTAATATTAATATTATTTATTTTGTAAAACAAAAAATGAAAATAAACTGAAAAGGAATGAAAAGGATTAAGTTACAGGATAATTTAAAAATATAGAAATTAAGAAATAAAAAAGGACTAATTAATTCATTTCATGAAACTAGAAAGACTAGTTTGTAATTTACTCACTTAAGGATCATAGATGATAGAACGGAAAATAGTATTTCGGGAGCAAAGAATTTGGGGAAGAATAACTTGCGATTTCTGGAATTCGAGCAAGCTAGCCTCTCTCCCCTTCGTTTGGGCTTTTCCAATATAAATGGGCCTTGAATCATCAAAAATTTTGGATCGAACGATTGGTTCCTAAACGGGCCAGCAAGAACAACACTGAGAAAACACAAACAAAAATCAATACCACGACATGCGTTTAGTACCGTTATAGCAAGAAACGTAGATAGCTTTGCTTCCACCTAGGCATCATCTTCATCATCAAGTGAAAAAAAAAAATAAATGCAAGGAGGATCATCAGGCGTTGGCTACGGTCTCAAATATCAGGTCCAGATTACTAAAACCTAACTCGTTCTCTTCAATAATCTGTAAAAAAAATTGATAAATTTTAACCCAAATTTCGCTCGATAAATTCAATATCCAGGCAAGGTGCATATCAGATGTGAAAGCAGACACAGATCACACCAGCTTTATCACTGGAACTCTCAGTCTCAGAGAAGAAAACGAGGTAAAAAGTCTTCTACTACATTTTGATTCTTTTGTTGTCTATTATTGGATCTGATGAGAGAAATTGTAATGTGTAATAGGTGCATTTGCTTAGGTTATCTTCAGGTGGAACTGAATTGATATGCGAGGGCTTGTTTTCGCATCCTAATGAGATCTGGGATCTCTCTTCATGTCCTTTTGATCAACGCATTTTCTCCACTGTTTTCTCTACTGGTAAATCACTAGCCGCGATCTGCTTGCGTTTGTTTGATTCTTGAATTCTTGATCAGTAATTTGTTTATTATGAAAAATAATTAGGCTTATAAATTTGCAATTAGAGACGCATTACTGTGTGTGGAATTAGTATGTGAGCTGAATTAGCGTTTGATGAATTCTGTGGGATTGAAGGTGAGTCATTTGGAGCAGCGGTGTGGCAGATTCCTGAGTTATATGGGCAGTTAAATTCCCCGCAATTGGAAAAGATTGCGCCTCTTGATGGACACGCTGGCAAGGTTAATTGGTGAGTTTGAAGTGTTAATTTATCCATCCCTTGTTTGTGTAATATATATTTTACGGTGTGGAATTTTGTGTTTTGTTTTTAACTTGTGGGTATTTGGATACTTACATGGTTTCGTTTGTCTTGCCATATGAGGGTACCCAACAGCATTCTCTGGTGGCCATCTGGAAGAAATGATAAGTTGATAAGCATTGATGAGGAAAATATTTTCTTGTGGAGTTTAGATTGTTCAAGAAAAGCTGCACAGGTAGAAGTTGTATTGGAATTTGTGGCATAATTATGTTTCTGGTGTTGTGTTTATGATATGGTATGGATAGTTGATGGAAATTCGTGTTTTGGAAGATACAATTAAGTTGTTGTTTGGTGACAGTGGATAAGATAAACTAGTAAAGTAGAGATGTGCAAATCTGTTACAATTCCTTACAATTCCCTCTTGAATTCTTGTGCTGGTACTTATTCAGATGTTACTGAAAAATCCAGGTGCAATCAAAGGAATCAGCAGGTATGCTGCATTACTTATCTGGTGGAGCCTGGGATCCGCATGATGTAAATGCTGTTGCAGCAACTTGTGAATCCTCTGTCCAATTTTGGGATCTACGGACAATGAAGTATGATAGTTCTGCATATCTTTTCCTTTTTTTTACTCATCTATTAATAATAGCTAGCATTCCAAGTCCTGCAGTAGAGAGTTAATACCTCTAACTTACATTTGACTTAAATACAGATGAATGAGTTTTAAGATTTTGTTATGTTTTTATTGAATAAAGTTTGTTGCCTACTAGTTGAGCTTTATGCACATATCTCTAAATAAGTTGTTGAGAATCTGACTTTTTTTTCATCAAAATTTTAATTGGTCTTTTTGAAATGCTAATTGGCTGATGTCTTGCCATTAGACAATGCATTTCAATCATGGTTAACAATATGATTTGTGTGTTTACAGGAAAACAAGTTCAATTGAGTGTGGCCATGTTCGCAATGTCGACTATCACACCAAGAAGAAGCATACACTTGTAAGTGTTATCCTGTATCTGTGTTTACCTCTAGAAGTGTATCACTGCATTGATATCTAATCACATATGTCTATAGTAGTGAGGAAGTATACTTATTGGAGCAGTTGAAGGTATCAAATCATAAACACTATTGCATTGTCCTTTATATTTAGAAAGCATGCAGAGAGTCTTTTTAGGACTTGTTTAAATTTGGAGAAAACCACCATGGAGAGCATCAGGGCACTGGCCTGTTGGAAATGGGCTTCAAATCCACAGAATAATATTCTGTTATAAAGTTCTTTAACTTTCTCTTGAAACTTCACTATCTGTCAAAATAACTCTTCTTAGATAATGTTGTTTTGAAATCGGCTTCAAATGCACAGAATAATATTCTGTTACAAAGTTCTTTAACTTTCTCTTGAAACTTCACTGACTTCACTATCTGTCAAAATAACTCTTCTTAGATGATGTTGCTTTGCAATCCAACGGCACTAATGAATTAATCATTACAGGTTACTGCAGAGGATGAATCTGGGATACATATATGGGATCTTAGGATGCCTAAGGTTCCTATAAAAGAGCTTCGTGGACATTCACACTGGTAATGGTTTCTTCTGTGTTGCAGTTCTGATGAACGATTCTAGTCTTATGCTTGCATCATGTGTGTATTATGTATTCAATTAGGTTTGATGTTTTCTATTGGCTCCTCCAGTGTATAAAATTGTTCAAATTCAGGTATTTATAGTTCTCTCACTGTGTTTCCAAATGTTGGCAGGACATGGGCTGTCACATGTAATCCTGAATATGATGAACTGATTCTGGTTCTCTCTCTCTTTCTCTCTATATCTCTCTTTCGCCCCCTCATCCCTGCACGCACACACATGCACTATCCCTTTTCCCATAATGTCTACTACCATAGAATTAATCATTAAACAGCACCTTGTCCAAAAAATGTCAAACACAAGTGAGGTCAAAGGTGGAAAGTTAGCAAACCTTTTCTAAGTGCATTGCGTGCATTTCATGAATCATGCTTTCTCAAATTGACCATGGTTATGGGATATTGGGATTATAAAAACCTGGTCACAACTATCACTGCTCTTGGCTGATTATGTATCATTTATCATATGCCTTACATACAAGACAGTGGGGAAGATGTCCATCTATTTGAAGTCATTCATTGTCTGGTTGGTTGTTACTGTTAATGAAACAAATTACTGTCTCTTCTACCTATTTTATCTATTAGCATTTTCCTTACGAGAGATAAGTTCTTGCAGAGTGGTGGTACAGACTCAACTGTCAATTTGTGGTTCGCTTCTACAACAACAAGTGATGAGTTGGCATCTGAAAGGTCATTGTCTTATCTGTTTACCAGACGTGTTACTTTGACTTTTTTGTTTCTTTTTCCTGATAATCTCATCAATGTGTTTGTATTTAGCAGTGTGGATGAGTCACCAACTCAAGAACTTGATCCGTTGCTGTACTCATTCAGTGACTATGAAGACAGTGTCTATGGTAACAAATGAAGCCATATGGTATCTTTAAACCATATAAGTTTTAAATTCGACCTGAACAGTAACTTGTGATGATAGGGCTTGCTTGGAGTTCTCGAGAACCGTGGATTTTTGCATCTTTATCCTATGATGGGAGGGTAAGATCACTAATCATTTACCACAACAAGAAACATTAGGAAGTGTCACTCATTTCACTTGGAGAAAATTATTTTATCACTGATGCATAGTCTCATATTGCAAAAGCCATATGCCTTCCTGACCAAGGCCGCCAATTGAGTTATTGGTTTGACCTTCCATGTGTAGGTGATGATGGGATGATGATTGTTATATTGAGAATTACGCAAACTTACTTGCCTTACTACTAGAAGCTTGAATTTGAATTGCATGTGCAGAGTCCATTTTCTCATGCTAAGGGTGTAATATAAGGCATGTTCCGTCGATTCTGGAAGCAGAGTGCAATAGTTTTGTTTCAGAATCTGTGCCAAATAAACCCCGTTCTGAATGCTTTGCTCTCGCAAATACACATTTAGAAAGTTAGATGGCATGGAGAAACTCATTTGACAATTGTTCACAATCTAATCATTCAAATTGCATGTCCTGTCTTGCATGCAGGTGGTTGTAGAATCAATAAAACCTTATCTCCCCAGAAAATGAATTCATCTCAGATTTGGCCATGTTAAACCATCTTCTGACGGTTTCCCCTAACACCGAATGCCAGATGAACTACATCAAAAAAATAGTTCTGCAATACGAAATCCACCTGGTGGCTGTCTAGAATTTGTTCTAGCGCAACACTGAAGTCTTATCATGTCAATGCAAGTTTCAATGACCATTGTTGTGTTGTTAAGACGCGGAAGAGTTTTTCCCGGTACATTTGACCCTATGTTCTTACCATGTATGTATACAAACACTGCAAAAGGCCCAGATTTTTTGCATCACTGGAATCTAGTAATTTGTCAATTTTAACTGTATAATCATCTAAATTCTATAATTTTTTTTCATTCGAAAGCTGGAATTGTTCGCTGTGTTGGAATAATGCTACTATGAAATCTTTTTCAACACCATTTTTGGAAGAATATCAACCCTTGAATTTGGGGAACCAGTCTTTAGGATCTAAAATTATGGAGAGTTGGTTTCGGAAGTACTATTGTCTAAAATTGGTATTGATTGGATTAGATTAAATAATCATGGTTATTTTTTAGTTTTCCAGTGAGTTGCCATTCTGCCAACCATATTTTGAAAAAGCGGCAGTTACATAATGTGACGGTTGCTATTTAACGGTGTTGGGTGCACTCACTATCGTTATTTACTACTATAGAAATCCTAAAACCGTTTCACATAATCGGTATTGAGCACTCTCATTATTGAAATGTACCACTATAAAGATCTTAATATTGTTTTACATAAATAGCAACGATAACAATTGCTATCATTATCATTATATAATATCATTATATAATATCGTAATTCATTTTATTTAACAGATATTCTTTTATATTTTAAAAAATAAATTAATATATATTTTAATGTTGTGATGTATCTTATCATTGTTTTATGTCATGTTAAATTATTAAATGTGTTATTAATTTTTTATTTAATTCAAATATAATTTTATGGTATTAAGTTATTAAAAATATTATTTATTTATTATATTATATAAAATCATTAAAAATATATAAATTATCAACTATTATTGATATATTCTGATATTGATTATTGTAATCATTACTTTACTTTCAGTACAAATCGTAACCTACAATCATGCTTGCAAATATTTTGGGCTCAATAGTCAACCACCTTGTTCATCTCGTCAATGAACTTGGGTTCAAATCTAAAGCACCTTAGCTTCATTTACTGAGCTGCTTTAGCTTTTGCTCTGACGTAAATATAGTGGGGTTCCTAGTTACGTGTGCCTTCTATTTTTTGTACCAATTGTGGCCTCGTAGAGAATTGTTAGCAACACGAATGGAGTTCTCTTTACTGCCTCGTAGGCTTTTTGAATTTGTTGTACGGTGAAGTGACATGAAGCTTATCCAAAACACAATTGATATGAGTCAGGACCAAAAACATTTGGTTTCCTCGTCCAACGGCAAAGACCCAAGTTTTTCATGACCACGTCATGTTCTGTTTACACGTGCCAGTCTAAGTCACCATGTGTCCCCCGCCACGTATTTCATGACACGCAAGGTGCTGTGCTTTCAGCTTATCCAACTACCAAATTCTAGGTCAAGCCATGTCATCATGCCAATGTGTGGTGAAAGTCCAAGAAAACTTTGAAGAAAAAGGTTTTTGCTTCATCAAGTGTCAATTCTTATTTTCTTTGGATGAGATGGATTTTTACTCTCCTTCAACAAGGATAAAAAGTCGTCATCAACAAAGATTTCTTCGAGGAAAATCCGAAGATTCTATATGGTTTATTGATTTTGTAGGTTATAATCATCCGTGGGCTGTGGACGCAAATGCGCCTCCCCCTCCTTTTTGGCCCTTCTGCTGAGGCGCTCGAAATCCGAAGGTTTTTCCTTCGTACGGTACACGCAATCTTTTCCTCACACAGGAGAATGAGGCAGAAGTTATCGAAGACAACAATCCATCTAAAATTATTTTCGTAAAAATCTAATTTTGTTTTTTTGACATGTGTTGAAGATATTTAATTTGATATTGTTTTATTTTAACATTTTTATGATATTTATTTATTTCTAGTTTTTTTAATTTTTTAAATAAAAAATAAATATAAATGTATTAAATAATTATTTTTAAAACAAAATTGATTAATTAATCGTTTTTTTAAAAAAAAAACAAATAATTTATAATTTACTCATTAAATGGTGGACGGCTTTCAGAAAACCATTTCAAAATACAATTTCAAAAAAAAATTCTCTTTATTTTGAATATTCGAGTTTAAATTTATCGAATGGCAGATATCTATCTTGACCCAACTCTCCATAAAAATCCTTGCAAGAATGATATATGATTGAATTTCTTTTTTCGTTGATATATTTGAGTATGATCTTGTCGAAGTTTAAAAAAAAGAAGAAGAAGAAGAAGAAAACAGCGACAGCTAAACAAACGACACCTGTCAAAAGGAGAAAGGAAGAAAGGATCACAAAGCACAAAGTGGGACCTGTCTGCTCACGTGTATGATTACTTCCCGGGATTCGGAGCCATATCACCGATCTGATCTCTCTATTTCACGCCCAAAACCACCCCCCCTCTCTCTCTCTCTCTCTCTCTCTCTACCTCTTAAAATCCAAACAAAGCAAAGTCTGGCCATCGTCAGTCAAAGTTCTCGCCTCCAATTTTTAAATTCCCGTAATTCTCTCCTTTGCCTCTTCATTTTTTAATTTAATTTATCAAAAATTCGAAACTTCCACTCTCTCTTCTACTTCTCCCTAGCAAACCACTCTTGCCGTCTCTTGGATGGCCTTTTCGTAATTGATGGCGGCGAGTTCTAGTGGTTTTACGACTCACCTGGATTTCAAGCTCAGCAGACTCAGCATTTCGCCTTTCCACGACTATAAGAGTGGATTGGAGTCCAGGAAGAAGAAGCGAAGGGTGAGGCTCTTCCTTGAAGGTAACGGAGCACGGGTGAGTAGAAGTAGTAGCTGTAGCTCTGACTCAGTGGTTAGGAGAGCTTCCGGGTCGGGTAAGAGTGTTGAGAAACCCGAGGAGAAACGCTCTCATAGAGGTCGAATCCAAGCCAGTCCTGCATTGCCGTTTCCTTCTCCTCTGTACGACACCGTTAAACCTTTTTTCACTGTGATTTTACTTAGGATCATGATCAATTTCACTTTATTTTATAATGTCAGTTCATATTTTTTAAATTTTAAATTTTAGTTTTTTTTTTAACAAAAAAAATTAATTCTGTAGGTCTCGGTTTGGTACGAAACAAGAGAAGTTTTATCCGAGATGTACGCCGAGAAACTCCGGTCCACAGTCGCGAGATACTCCGCCGAAGAGAGGTAATTTACGCTGCTTGAATTGGATTTTGCAATAATTTTATAATTAGTTGTATTTTTGAACAATTTGTTGAATGGTTGGCTTCATGTAGATACTGGCATTGCGAATGAGAAAGATATGGGCATCAAATTGTTAAAAGAAAAGGTTAGTGAGACAGGGACTAATGAAGATGGAAGTACTTGGTTTCAAGAAAGTGGAGAGGATCTTGGCGAAAATGGGTATAGATGTAGATGGACGAAGATGGGTGGTCGCTCACATGATGGTTCCTCCCAATGGGAAGAAACGGTATTTTTTTTTTTTTTCCCAATCACATGATATTTTGCTTGTTTGAGAGTATATGATTTGATATGAGAGTGCAACAGTAAAATCGTTATCAGGAATCAGGGTGTCTCTATTTACTGGTGATGGCAATGAACTTGTTCTGATTTTGATTTCCCATCCCACTAGCAACCAGTTTTACCTCCATTGTCGTACTATCAGATGTGATTATAGTGTCAATAGCCAGAATTCATTACATTAACACCTGCTTGCCCCTAAGGTTCTGATTTTGTAACTAATCATCGCCTTCTACTGAATGTTTTGGCCACTCTGTTGTCGCCTTTCCCTTAAATACTCCACCTGTCGGTTGAATTACACCATAGTAAAGGTTGTCATTCAATGCGGACTCCATTTTTTTATGAAAGACTTGCATCCTGTCTCTGCTCCTTTATGTTTGCTTCAATGTCTGGTAGGGATGGTGATAAAGGCTTTGCATGCCAGCTTTTTGAAAACATACAGTGATGAGTCAATTGTCGTGGTGTTGTTTAATTTATCCTAATTTGGCATTGATTTTATAACCCCACTAAGTATCATCCCAGGTGGATGCATTTAATTGGATTTATTGATCTCCTTGGCAGTGGTGGGAGAAAAGTGACTGGACAGGATACAAAGAGCTAGGTATATTGCTTGTCTTATCATTTACGTGTTATGATGATTATTTTCAATTTTAGTGGGTTGGAAATTTAATCTTATTGAATTTTTCACTCTCAATCGAGTTGATATTTTGTAGGCGTGGAGAAATCTGGAAGAAATGCTGAAGGGGATTCATGGTGGGAAACATGGCAAGAGATGCTTCATCAAGATGAATGGAGGTGTAGTTTCTACCATGTTATCTATGCAAATAAATTTGAAAGTTTTGCCATGAAACGAATGTCTTCAGTTTATCATGTGTTGAATTTGTCATACTAATCACTGTCTTTTTTTGTTACTGCAGTAACCTTGCAAGAATAGAGAGGAGTGCACAGAAACAAGCGAAATCTGGCACTGAAAATGCTGGATGGTATGAGAAATGGTAAGCTAATATTCCAATGCAGAGTGATTATGAATGATGAATGTAAGTTATTTTGGTCAAGTATGCGATTGAGCAGAACAACAGATCAGTTTATTAACTACGCTTTAATTTTGGACTTAGGTGGGAGAAATATGATGCTAAAGGTTGGACTGAGAAAGGGGCGAATAAGTATGGAAGATTGAATGAGCAGTCATGGTGGGAGAAGTGGGGAGAGCATTATGATGGAAGAGGCTCTGTTACAAAATGGTTCTCCCATTCTCCATTTTATCTTTGAACTTCAATCTGCTTTTAACCAGCTTGCTATTTTGGACATTTGTACACCCACTATCATCAACCATGTTAAGTTACTAATCTTATTAACATCTTAAGAAAAAGAGGTTTTGAGAGAACAGTTATATACAGTTGAAAGTGTAGATATGAATTAATTGTTTCTGATCTTAAAACTTCTAGAAAGCAGTCAATATTTTGAGTGATGATGTAATAAAAATATCTCAGAAAATGTGAAACTTAAGTGATCTAGATTTTTCAATAGCACTTCCTTTGTTTGTACCTATCACTCTGCTTTGGGAACAATCAAAGATTTCACCAAGTTACTTCTCTTCAATTAACTTCATAATTGGAAGAGCTTGAAAATAGTTTCACTAAGTGTTCTTGTTTCACTCCTCAGGACAGATAAATGGGCTGAGACTGATTTGGGAACCAAATGGGGAGACAAGTGGGAAGAAAAGTTCTTTGCTGGCATAGGTTCACGTCATGGGGAGACATGGCATGTTTCTCCAAGTGGTGGGCGTATGTTTTACTCATGTTCTCTGACATAATTTCCTGTAATTAGTTATGCTGATTTCCCTTTAGACTACTGCCTTTGTCTATTTGAAATTTATTTCAAGTACATTCTTCATAGGGTGCGTATTTTTTTATGTGCCTGTCTTAGTCTATCCGATATTAGAATTGCACAGTTTCATTAGATACTCTCATTACCCATACATTAATTTGGAAACTCTTACAGTTACCTACCAACTTTCACAATGCAGGAAGATTAAATTCTCTAGATATCTATTGGCATTTGTTGCTATCTTCTTTGTGATTGTCAGGTTATATGTATGAAAGACTCGTCACTTGCTAGGTTTGTTGTAACCAGGTCTATTTGTTAGTTATTCCTACTTTGAAGAATGACTTTGTACCACAGCTCCAGATTCATTTTTTATTTCGCTCTAGCCATGGACATAAAGTAATCCAGAGCATCACTGATGTACACTTGTAGAACTCAAATGACCCGATATGACATTCTATCAATTATCATGTCTTTAGGAGAGGAGCTAACTTAGTCTGTGAGTTATTGTCGAAATGACTGGATTGAGTTGCCTAATTGAAACATGTTTGACTTTACTGGAATAGTTTCCGGAATCTGATGTAACTTCTTGCGGTTCGTGTTCAGGTTGGTCAAGGACGTGGGGCGAGGAACATTTTGGAAACGGGTATGGAACTCGGTGTTCCTATATGAGTTTGTTCTGTGTGCTGTATTTGGAATATTAGTCTTATGCTTCTTTACACCTATACAGGAAAGTTCACAAATACGGAAAAAGCACAACAGGTGAAAGCTGGGATATTGTTGTGGACGAGGAAACCTATTATGAGTAAGGATGTGCTTATCTTAGTCACCGAATTTGGCTAATCAGAAAATACTTGCACTAAAAATGTAAATTTCTTTCTTGGAACTACTACAGTGGGATTAACTTCAAAATTTTCTGGTTTTAACGACAGGGCTGAACCACATTATGGATGGGCCGATGTCGTGGGTGATTCCAGCCAGTTACTATCAATTGAACCTCTGGAAAGGCCACCCGGTTTCTACCCGAATCTCGATTTTGGGTCATCTCCTCCACCTCGAGCCGATGACTTGCCTCCCCCTCCCTCGCAATGAAGACCTGATTTCCAGGCTTCTTATTTTGTTTTAGGTGGTTTCATATTTATCTCATTTGAATCCAATCATATTGTTTAAACCGTGTCCAGTAATAGTATTGTGAATTAGTACTTTTCAATTTATTCATTCTTTGGATGAGAAATGCATCCATTCCGGGTTTTGTGCAGTTTCTGGTTGTCAAATTATTGGACGTTAGATCATTTTCCCTGAAGTACGATATCTGTAAGACGCTTTCAGTCCCCAGGTTTTTAAAACTTAGTTTTTCTTTGGAAAATCGCAAGTTAGTACTCCGTTTTTCGTTGGAAAATCACAAGCTAGTCTCTTCGTCTTTAAATGTACGAATTGATGTTTTTTTTTTGGTAGTAATAGTAGTTGGTGAAATTTGAAATTTGAGTAGAAATGAAGGATGGTTTAGTACAGAAAACAATTAAATGGTTATAGAAAATTAATGGAAATACTAAGTTGCAAAAAAAAAATAATAATAATAATAAAATATAGGGATTCTATTAGGGCTTTAAAGCATAGAGATCGACTAACTATTCTGCTAAAAACTCATGGATTAAATAATAGTTTACATGAAAAACAGTTGTCAGCTATAGATAGGGCTAACAAGCGAGAGGCGAGAGTCGAAAAGAAAAAGGGGTGATAAGCGGATCGGACATTTGCTTCATATTTGATACGTTATCGTCACTAAACAAATTGTCCTAAGCCCAACATTTGATGGGCTACAAGCTTGGCAAGGCCGAGCATAAAAATAGTCACGAACAGATACTCTAAAATGTCATCTTCGCCTTCGAGTTCTTCTAAGTCCTAAACAATGAAGATCCCATCAAAGGGATGTGGGTTGGATTGCTAGGAAAGCATGGAAATTGAAAGATGACTGGACTTACACCTTTTACCATTGACGACGAGGTTGGTTTTTTCGCTAAAAAACCAATCCGAACTAGTTTGGTAATAAAATTGGTCGCAGGATTTCTTTTAATTTCCTTTTTTTTTCTTCTATGATTATATACAAGTTCTATTTTAACAGCTCTTTTAAACTACATTATAAAACCTAAATTCTTAGCCAAATTGACCCTTCATTGAACTCAAATTTCCTTTTTATTTAGGAGATTATTAAATTGCCGATCGGTGTCCTGGCTTGTGATGTTATTATTCTTGAGTTGCTCTTATGATAAACATGGAGTAAATTATAAATTAGTTTCTCTATTTTAGAGAACGAATGGATTAATTCTTTTTATTTTTTTAATTTTTTGTTTTAATAAATGAAAAAGGTCAAAATATGGAAAGAATTAAGGGAAAAAAAGATATTTTTTAATTAAATAATATTAAATTAAACGTAATTAATAATGATAAAAAAACTAAATAATTAATTTTTAAAATAAAAAAGACTAATAAATTTATTTCTAAAAAATAGAGGGACTAATTTACTCGATAAACATGGAATAGCGTCTTATCCATACCGAACTAATTTTTATCTTTAAAAACCAAATGAACTCGGGTACTTCGTTTTCTGAAAGGGTGGTCCATCGTTTGTACCTAGTTGGTCCGGCCATTTTTTTAAAGAGCAATCCACCTATGTTAGCTATTGAACCGCGTGGGACCAAATTAAAGCTTTGAAAAGTTCAGAGTTGACATTACAAATTGAAGTTAAAACATATTAAATCTACGAAAACAAAAATATAATTTATCCAAGAAAAAATGAGGAAAAATAAATATAATTTATCCGTAAAAAAATGACTTGTACATAGGAACAATTTTCTCGTATATTAGTCATGATTAATTTAATATTGAATTTAAAAATATTTTTTTCTCATTAATCTTTTATATATTTTACTCATTTTTTTCTTTTTTTCTATTTTTTAAAATAAAAAAAAATAAAAAAGGAATTTAAGGACTAAGTTATAAATGAATTGAAAAAATATAAGGAAGGACTGATTAATTATTTATTAAAACTGAAAGGATTATTTAATTCTTTTGATAAACTAGATGAATGAATTTGTAATTTACTCGATCCTGGCAGAGATGGGAAATAGCATTTTTTTTTACCCCTCTTTTCTGTTTTTGAACTGCGCATTAGTCTTTTCCTGTATCACGTGATCCCACTCCTTTGGTTTGATTTTCAAGGAAAATAATTTGATAAAGAAATACTTTGAAAAATTGACTAGAGAAATTTCTTTTTCATACTTCGAAATTGGCGAATTTTATGCCGGTGAAATAGAAGACTTCGTCAAAGACGAGTTAATCTATTTCGCAAATTACCAAATTCTAGCACGTGAAATTGGTTAAATATTTTGCCAAATTAGAAATGATTGTGAAGTTTGGCATATTAACTTGTACAACAAAATCTAGAATATTGACTTTCATGCTTGAAAAACCCAAAAAGAAATTTAATTAGTTTGTGCTTACTAAGACAGTTTCATTTGAAAAAAACTGCAATAAAATTTAAAATCTAACTAAATATCTAAATGTTTCTTGAAAAAAATAAATAAAGCAACAATGTATAATAAATTGGCGAACCTGCAATTAACATTGATATTTATATTTTAAAATTAAATGCAAATTTAATTATGGTTTAGCAGGTGAAAAAAAAGGATTAAAGAATGTTTTTGCATGTTTGAAAGAAAGTATTAGTCTTTAAATAATACAAATATTTTAAAGTCTCATAAGTAATAACGGGAAGCTCTTGCTCTCAATTTTTTCTTCCTTGTGCATAATACCGGGCTTGCTCATAGATTAGCTCGAAAGCTATATTAATGGCACCGTGAAAGGCAAAATATGGGTTGATGGTTGAATATGCTTTTATACAATAAGAAAAATTTTCAATTTATATATATAATCGCATTAATTTTATTTTAAAATATGTTTTAAATTTTTAATATATTGTGTTGGTAAAATTTTAATGTTAAACTTTCAAAATTAATTGCATAATTTGCATACAAAACTATTCAATTTATCTGACTTGTAAAGCAAGTAAAATAAAAATAAATCATGTGAATAATTTTATTTTTTTCGTTTAAAATTCCTACTAAATTGATAGATTAAAATTTTAATATATATTCAAAAATAAAATTGATTCAGTTAAAAATGTAAATAACAAATTTAATAATATTTATCTCATCGTATAAGATGTAAAAATAGATTGAATAATTAACTCATAAAAATATTATACTATTTGTCCAGTTTATGCTATGCATGCGTCTTGACAAAACAAAAAATAAAATAAAAGGCGTTATTGAAAAACAAATGGTTTATTCACGCATTTCATGCTCAGAATAGTTGTATTGCATAAACATAAATTTATTTTTATGCACATAATTACATGAAAAGATATTATATTTATTTTTCTTGGATGTTACGATCGAAGTACTGATTTACAATTATAGTATCAAATGTCACAACTTTCAAATCAACACATAAATTGATTCATGTTTAGTATCAAATATTCACGTGAAATTATTTACATTTAGACATTTTAAATAATAAGTACTTACTCTAAGAAATAAAAATGAATTTAGGATAATTTTATAAATAATCAAGTCTAACATGAATCCGACCAACCGAAAACTAAATTTTCTCCTCATGCTAATCAATTTATTTTCGGATTTTACTATATTTTCTCTAAAAGAAATCATTGTTTTTCCTTTCATGATATGTAAGTTTAATAAACGTTGAACCTAAATCGATTAATTTTATAATTAATGAATCGTAGCTAGTTTTCTTACATAGTGATAGCAATAATTTCATGGGCCAACTCTTTTATTATGGAATTATAAGATGTGTTAAGAAATAGAAGAATTAGTTCACAATGTCTTCATATTTTAAGTATAATTTTCCATCTATATCTACAAGTTTAATTATTTCTAATTTATCTTTATATTTTAATTTATTCTCCAATCTATTTTTTAATAGATATTTTTACGCATATTGACAAAAATACTCGCATATGAAAAATTCAAACCTAATATAATTTATTTAAAAAATTAAAGTTTAACATGGTATGACAATTCATTTTTTTTATAATTTTTTTTAATAAATTAGATGGGAGTTTGAATTTCTCAATCGGAGATATTACATAAAAATACATATTAAAATGATAAATTGAAAAATAAATTAAAATATAAAAATAGATTGGAAGCAGTTAAATCTGTAGAGATAGATTGAAGGCTAAACCTAAAATATAAAAACATGTTGAACTAATTCTCTTAGGAAATATATTAATTACAGAGAAACTAATTAAATTTCATATCTTTTTTTCCAATGTTTTTTTTTCTTTTTTTATAGTAAAGGCTTGTCGTGGATTAGGTTGACCGAATTCCTAACAGCGAAAAAATGGTCGTTTATTGGGAAATGAATCCACTTATCATCCCGAATAAGACCTGAAGGATCAATCCTAGCAAACTAAATTATAAATAAATTTGAGTAAATTATAAATTATTTCCTTTATTTTCAAGAAATTTTTTTATTAATCTCTCTTATTTTAAAAAATTAATTTTTAAGTTTTTAATCGACATCAATCATATTTTATTTTATAAAAAACATTTTTCTTCAATTTTTATATAGTTTTTTACTTTTTTTTCATTTGTTCTATTTTTTAAAATAAAAAATTAAAATAAATTAAAAAATAGCAAAACTAATCAAGTTAAAAGAAAATTTTAAAATATGAAAACTAAATATGAAACAAAAAGTAAAAATATTAATTGGCTTCTCAAAACTAGAGAGATGAATTTATAATTTACTCTAAATAAATTTGATTTCATTAATTGCGGCTTAATTAGGGCCAGAAGCTTGAGATCTAAGCAAATAAAACCACTCGATTAGCACGGTGCAGTTTCACATGTTTTTTTTTTTTATCAAATACCCCCAGAACTCCAAAAGCTTACTCGCACTAAAAAAAAAAAAAAAATCCCCAGTATCATCTTCCTTTCTACCAAAAAACCCTCAATTTACTTCAAGTTTTTCACCAACTTTCCTCTCATGGTGCAGCCAAAACCAAGATCCAACTCTTCTTCTTGACCAAGCAAACATGCTAAACAAATCCCCACAAAAAATGGCCGTGCCTCCTATAATTTCCAGGCGGTTCTCTGATCTGGATTGGAGACTTCTGCTCTTGATCATCCCTCCTATTTCTCTCCTTATTTTACTCTCTATCTCCTTTAACCCCATCAACCATTTTTCCAGTTTTGCCCCTCTCGCTTCCCATTTCCTCAACAAAACCAGCCTGATCACTCTCCCCTCCACCACCCTAACAACAAATTATTCCTCAACTGCTCCCCCGAGTTTGCCGCTCGTGAATCGGAGTGAGTCAACTCAGTGGAAAGATGAGTTGGAGCGGTCGAGAATGGCGGTGTGTTTGGTTGGTGGAGCCAGGAGGTTCGAACTGACTGGACCCTCAATCGTGAAGAATATTCTCCAAGTGTATCCAAATGCAGACCTTTTTTTGCACAGTAATTTCGATAAGGATGCTTTCAAATTTTCTCTCTTGAAAACCGTGCCTAAGCTTGCCTCTGTCCGTATTATTAGTCCTAAACCGTTGCCCGAGACCTTGGCTCAGCTCCGGGTCCTTACAGCTGCTAATTCTCCTAATGGCATCCAGGTTTATTTCCCTTTTGCCTTTACTACTATTTTTTTTTTTAAGGTTCAGTCTTTTTTTTGGTTTGTTTTGTATTCTGAGCTGGGTTTTCCCTTTTCAATTCACTTTCAGGGTTTTGATGATGGATTTTTTTAATTTTTTTGGATAATTACTTGATTTGATCTAATCTTATTTTTGTTGGTAAATTCCAATTTGGTAATTTTTTTTAAATAGAATAAAATGGTCTCTTTTTCCGTTCTCTCCTAAAGAAAATATGCGCCATGAGGGTTCAAATTTCTGATAAAGTTATGCGAATTATCACGAATTCCAGCACAAATAAATAAAACATTGTAATTATTCTTCTGGCTTTTTTTTTAACTATTTTTTGCAACAATTATTCGTGCCTTTTAAGGTAACATTGTAGTTAGTAAAATACAAAGGCTTTTTTATAGTTCCTTAACCTTTTCAACTGTTGTTATTGCTGAAATTTTAAGCAAAGAAACAATTTACAAATAGTATGTGCAGTGTATTTTATTTTACGGAAATAATGTCGTTTTAAAGCATTGAAAATATTGTATTAGGTAGGACTATCACCCTCGAATAGGATCTAGTTGGCCCCACTTGCACCTGCGTTGTGTACTACTTGTCGTTTTGGTATTGCATAATGAACAAGACGATGAAGGTGAATTTGTGTGTGTTTTGTCTTGTTTTAAATCTTTCAGGGTCTGCTTCAGTACTTCAACCTAGTAGAAGGATGTCTGAGAATGATCCAGGAATACCAAAACCTAAAGGGGTTCCAATATGATTGGATAGTCCGTACCCGTGTTGACGGGTACTGGAATGCTCCGTTGGGTCCCGAAAATTTCATCCCGGGTCACTACATGGTTCCACCAGGGTCAACATATGGTGGCCTTAATGATCGGCTTGGCATTGGTGATCTTAAAACCTCAACGATAGCCCTTTCGCGTCTTTCTTTGGTTCCCCAACTTGATGCTGCTGGATTTCGTCAACTTAATTCGGAAACTGCTTTTAAGGCTCAGCTTACTACACGAGGTGTTCCTTTCGATACTAAAAGAGTACCCTTTTGTGTTGTTTCGGATCGTAAATATGAGTTTCCTCCTGGCCGGTTTGGTGTGCCGGTGGCTGCATTGTCGAGTCCGGGACCATTAAGCGGTGCCAAATGCAGGCCGTGTAAGCCGGTTTGTGAAGGAACTTGTGTAGCTGGTATCATGCCATCGCTTTATAAAGGTTGGAGTTGGACTAATTGGGAAAACGGGACACTAAAGTTATGTGATGCTCATGGTGATTGGGAGGGAGGGTGGGAAAGGATTTTCGATAAAGTTGCTGGGAAGGAACTTGCTTCTGAAAGGAAAAGGATTCGCGGTCTAAGTAGGAAGCGATGTGTGGATGATTTTACTGAAATGAAGAAAAAGGCTTCCAAGTGGGATACTCCTCCAGTCGAAGAGATATGTAGATTAGGCCTTGGAGAGAATTAGAGAGGCAGATTTTTTCAAATTTTTTATGGAGGTTAATTTCTTGTAAAAAGAAAGGAATTAGAAGGGTGTTTATGGGTTTTTGGCTGGGGAGATTTTTAAATCTGGGTATATCGGATGAGGATTGTAGTGATTTGTCTTTTTCCTTAAAGTTCTAATTACAGGACCACAGTATAGTTTATCGTTTTATAATGGTGGGTTGTTATTCTTTACGTTTTGTGGTGAGAACAGTGTACCAATCCAACTAATACAAGGAAAATGAAGTGAGTGCTGGTCTACTCCCATCACCCACTGATAGTCACCACTTGTAAAAGATATATTACTTCTTTGTTTTTTTTTCCTTGTCTCAATATATATATATATTCTTTCATTTTTATGTAAATTAAGAAAGTTATTAATTGTTGTGTTTTATCAGTATTTTTTATTAAAATTCTAATTTTTTAAAGAATTATCAGTCATTAAAATGAATTTCAATTAAGTTTTGAGTGGAAGAATATTTTAGAATAAATATAAATAGAAAGAAATTATATGAACTTTATACTGGTAAAATAATTATCTATAACACTTGGGCTTGGATTGATTGTTAAAAAGAAGTAAATCTTTTTTTATTTTTATTGTGGTTCAAATTTCATGTTAAACTGTGAGAAATAGTTTTTTTTTTTTTTAAATAACAAAGTCAAAGATTAGAAATTGTACCAATATGAGACGATTTTCTCCAGTAGAACCATGAAAAAAGACGAATTTTTAGACCAAAAGGTAGCCTTTTCCGAAAATTTTTAAAATATTTTAAAAGTAATTAGCAATAATTACTTTATGAATATCTCTTTTTTTATCATTAATTACTGTTGGTGTAATAAAACTACACCACCACGACAAAATTTGCCTTCCGTAGAATCATGAAAAAAGACAAATATTTAGACCAAGGGATAGTCTTTTGTTAAAAAAAATTAAAATATATTAAAATAGATATAAATACTAATTATTTCATAGATTTACTTTAAAAAGAAAGAAAAAAATACACCAGATTTATAAAAACAATAAAAATATTTTCACTTAATTTATTTTTTAAAAAAATCTCTTTGTGTTGGGAGAATCTAACTGCAAATCCAAATTAGCAAGCGTGTTAGCCCAAAAATTTTCTTCCCTAGGCACACCAATCGTGATATATATTAACTCTACAGTCCCTGTCAGAAGTAAATTTCTTAACTAGTGAAGATATCATTAAATGCATTCAGTTGGATTAAAAATAGAGAGTTGGTCTCGACGCAAGGAAGTTGGGTCAACTATGAGATAATGCCATAAAATAATTGAAGACATGGAGAACTTTTCAAGAGTAATTTATAAATTAGTTGCATTATTTTTTAAAATAAATTAATTAGTTTTTTTAAAAATTAATCATTTAATTATATAACCACTTTGATCGTATTTAATTTAATATTATTTTATTTAAAAAATATCATTAATATTTTTTATATTTTTGAAATAAAAAATCAAAATAAAATAAATAAGCAAAAAAGTTAAGCAATAATAAAATTTAAAAATATAAAGATTAACTAATTAGTTCTTAAAATAAAAAACTAATCAATTTGTTTTTCAAAGTAAAGGATTAATATATAATTTAATCTACTTTTTGAAAGAAAGGTGCTTGAGCAATGGCATGCGCACACGAGGCCTTTTGGCACTTGATAGTTGACATCATTAAAAGAAGAAAAGAAAAAAGAAAACATGAAGTGCTAGCAGAGAACATGAATGATCTATCTACCATCGAGCATTGACACTGCGTTTGTCAGCGTAATTTGTAAATCAGTCCCTTTTGGTTCTGAGAAATAAATAAATAAATTTTTTTATTTTCAAAAATTAATTATTTAATATTTTTAATCAGTATTGATTATGATTAATTTAATATTTTTTTATTTTATAAAATATTTTATTTTTTCATTGATCTTTATTTATTTTTATTCCTTTTATTTAAAGTAATAATAAAATAATAAAATAATTAGTTTTTGAAACTAGAGGGAGTAATTAATTAGCTCGTTCAAATTGCTAACTATCACTTGGCCGATTAATACATTCTTTAAGCTACACAGTACAAGGCGAACAAATCCAGATTTGATTGAAGATTGTGGGATTAAACTAAAGATTAGTTACAAAATTATTAGATCACAAGTGGACTTTCTGCACATGTTAGTATAGTCAAAGTATACTCACAATGTTAGCTAAGCCTTGATTATAATTAAAGACCAAAACTAATTGGTTTAGTGGCATTATTTACCATTGAAAAATTGGAGTTGCAGAACATTGAGATCTACACTATCAGTTTTATTAATTTTGTTCTTGAATTATAATGTTTTAAACAAATATGGTCATTATGTTTGAATTAATTGTTAGTAATGGCCAAAAATTCTTTTAAAAAATTTTATATTTTGGTATTCTCAACTAAAATTCAATCCAATATTTTCACAAATAATTTCAAATTATCTTGAAGTTGTAAAGTAATTTTTTTTATTTTCCAAACAATAAAAATTCAACAGATTATAAAAAAAAAATTAGTTTTTTTGAAAGTTATAAGGTTATGAATTTTACACACTCAAATTTTTTGTTTTCAATTAATGATAACAGTCAAATCAAATAGAGCAAGGATGACATTGGTTAAAAACATGATAGTTCAAGGATAACATTGACAAAATTGACAATACAGGTCTCAATGTATCTTGATCTTAATAGTTCATGGACAAAAAATACTATTAAACCAAAACTAATTAGACATTAAATTTCAGCACAGACACATCGCTCATTACATTCTTCCTTCCTAGAGCATCCATATCTCCCAATTACACTCCTTGTGTCATCGTATCTCCGAATCTAGATCTAAAGGATTCGACAAGCTCATCAGGTCTGGCTCATGAATCCAACGTAGGGTTTTTAACCCTGCCCCAGTAAATTAGACCTGTCAAAAAATTGAGTGCAACTAAAAAACAATATATAAAATAATAAAATCTATTAAGTGTTATCATAAGTTAAGAGAAAAATAAAAAAAATGAAAAACTCAAACCAAAAAAACAGCTCTCAAATTTACTATTAAGTACAAAACAGTCCACAAATTTTCATCACACCAAAATTAAATTAAGTTCACATCCAAACAGTTTTAGAAATATAAAGTTGGTATGAATCCTTACATAAAATTGGGATTCATACACAATAATAATAACAACAACAACAACAAAATGGACAAAGAAGCCACATAAGAAAACTTGGGGCATCATCCATTTGTAGCACTATAAAATTTTTTTAAAAAAATTCCAAACTTGCATATCTATATGAAACCAAAAAAATTAATTTATTTGAAAGAAAATAGATTAATTAATTCATTTATTAAAACTAAAGAGACTAATTTATAATTTACTCCTCAAATTGAACAGTTAGATTAGGGACCCCAAATTTATCAGCCTTAATCTCAAGGGAGAAGGAGGAAAGTGATGGACATAAAAAAACACCAAAGCCTTGGTACTTTACCAAAACCAACGAATCCAGATTTGATTGAAGATTATGGGAATTAAACTAAAGATTATTTACAAAATTATTGGATCACAAGTGGACTTCCTGCACATGTTAGTATAGTCAGAGTATACTCACAATGTTAGCAAAGCCTTGATTATAATTAAAGAACAAAACTAATTGGTTTAGTGGCATTATTTATTTGCAATTAAACAATTGGAGTTGCAGAACATTGAGATCAATACTATAAATTTTATTAATTTTGTTCTTGAATTATAATATTTTATACAAATATTGTCATTATGTTTGAATTAATCGTTAATATTGGCCAAAAAATCTTTTTTAAAAAATTTATATTTTGGTATTCTCAAGTAAAATTCAATCCAATATTTTCACAAATAATTTCAAATTATCTTGAATTTGTAAAGTGATTTTTTTTTTATTTTCCAAACAATAAAAATTCAACAGATTATAAGAAAAAAAATAGTTTTTTTTTTTTTTTGAAAGTTATGAGGTCATATGAATTCTACATTCTCAATTTTTTTTTCAATTAATGATAACTGTCAAATCAAATTGAGGGATGAAATTGGTCCAAAATATGATAGTTCAAGGATAACATTGACAAAATTGATAATACAGGTCTCAATGTATCTTGATCTTAATAGTTCATTGACAAAAAATACTATTAAACCAAAACTAATTAGACACTAAATTCCAGCACAGACTCATCCCTTGTTACATTCTTCCGTCCTAGAGCAAACATATCTCCTAATTACACTCATGATTCTTCTGCATCCGTTCCTTGTGTCATCGTATCTTCGATTCTAGATCTAAAGGATTCGACATGCTCATCAGGTCTTGCTCATGAATCCAACGTAGGGTTTTTAACCTTGCTCTAGTAAATTAGACCTGGCAAAAAATTGAGTACAACAAAACAAACAATATATAAAACAATAAAATCTATTAAGTATTATCATAAGTTAAGAGAAAAATAACAAAAAAAAAAAATGAAAAGAAAAAATCAAACTAAAAAAACAGCTCTCAAATTTACTATCAAGTACAAAATAGTCCTCAAATTTTCATCACACCAAAATTAACTTAAGTGCACATCCAAACAGTTTAAGAAGTATAAAGTTGGTATGAATCCTTACATAAAATTGGGATTCATACACATAAATAATACTAATAATAATAATAACAAAACTGACAAAGAAGCCACATAAGAAAAATTGGGGCATCATCCATTTGTACCACTACAAAAATTAAAAAAAAAAAAAGTTCCAAACTAGCATGTCTATATGGATATGCATAAACCTGCAACAGGGGAGACTACATAAAAATAATAGTCGATCTCCATGTGCATCTATCTATCTATCTATCTATAAAGAGAAACTCTACGCCCAGGTGGGATACGGATAGCTATGATGATCATAGCCATATCCATAGCCATAGCCATATCGAGGGGGTGGTCTCTGTGGATAGTAATTGGTCACAGCATATCCTGGGTGATAGCCTTGATGATATCCTGGCCCTGGTTGAAGATATCCTCCATGGGGATAATACTGGTAGGCATTGTTCATATTCATATTTCCAGTCTCAATCCAACAGATATCTGTATGTTTTCCTCCTTTTGATAACTTTTTAAGCAGCTTGTTTGGATCCACTCTACCTGTGATTAATGCCGTGCCTTCCTCGGCATCTATAGTGTAGCTAACCCCTGAAAAAAGAATAACAGCAGATTAATATACAATCAATATTTCTACGAGAAAAAAAAAAAAAAATCTAAAACAAGCTAGAATTATACCTCTGATTCTTTTCAATACTTTGGTTAATGTCTTATGCCATTTAGGGTCTCTGGTGTCCACTTTCAAACCACAAGACTGCAAAAGAATGATCAGTCATATATACTAAAAACAGAAAAGATGGGAAAAGAGAAAAAAAAGGAAGAAAAAATAAACAAAACAAGAGATTGATAACAGATAGAAATGACAAGTGTGAACAAGATTACTGTAGTCTAACCATGTTTGAATTGAGACTTGACGCCATTTTGCTCTCAAGAATTAAAGGAGTGGAGTAAACTTTGCGATGGAGTACGGAACAAAAGTTATTGAATTGCTGCGAGATGTGCTAGGGTTTTGGATCACATAGGTATTTATAGATCTGTTTAACCGACTGAAAAAAAAGGGAACAATTTTGTTAAGCAAAGATAAAATCTTCATGGGATATATTTTGCTCTGGCTAAAAGGACCTTTAAAATATTTGTAGCGTTAATTACTTTCCGCAGGGGAAGAAAATTCAGAATTAAAGATTTACTTTCTCTTCCAAAGATGATATTATGGTGTTCATATGGTCTTTGCACTCCTGTATATCTCAAAAATGGGCTTTGCTCATTATATATGTTCTTCTTTTTTTCATATTGGCTTAGTATCTATAATCTTTATTTTATTTTGTTTACATACGTCCCGTTTTAAAGCTTTTAGTTCATAAGTTACTAAACTAACGTGACAAATAATTCACTTCTAAATACATGATATTTCTGATATATAAAACTCCAATAGAAGAATTCAATCATGACAATTCAAAAAATACTTGAATTCAATTAATATATTTCAAAAAATACAAGGATAAAATTATTATTTTTCATTTTTAATTTTAATTTTATTGTTATTTTAAAACCTCATATGGGTCATATGTGAGACCCAATCACACAAAAAATGTGAAGTGTTTTTTTTTTTTTTTTTTAATATTATGATAAGTTAAAAAGGAATACATAAAAAATAATAATAATAACAACTAACCTGGGATGCAATTATATATATATATATATATATATATATATATGGTGATGCATATTATCTATTAGACATAGATTCCTAGTTATTGAGTATCGTTTTTCCTAAAAATAAAAGAATTCGAATAGTTGAAAAATTCAAAATGAATAATGGGATTACTCCCTCAAAAAAAAACTAGAGACTACACCACTTTGCTTTTTTTTTTTTTTTTTTTTTGGACTAGAGAATTAGCAATTACTTAATAGTACAATTATTTTCATTTTAATTTTGATGAACATCTTTATACTTTTTTTCTAGATTACATATTACATTCATTTTGTATATATTTTATTATTTTTAAAGTATCAAAATAATTAAGAAAACATCTTTATAGTTTTATTGTGATAAAATGCCACATGACACGTTTTACATCATTTAATATGATATTTAAAAAAATATATGTAAATTCAAAATAATAATAACAATTTCGAATATTTTTGATTGAGTTGCTCTATTAAAGTTTCACCTATGATATATACGTGTCACACATTCAGTAGTAGACTTGCTACATCAGCTCATGGATTGACAACATTATAACGAAAGGATGGAAACTAACAAAACAAAATGAAGAATAGTGTGAATCAATCAATCCAAAAAATAATATAACATCTCAATGAAAATAATTTGAAGAGTTTATACATAGACTATATGGGCGAGACTATCTCACAAATAAAATTTTAATCATATATTATATTATAGGAATATTTGATCTTATATATATATAAACCCACGTGTTGCATATATAGTACCCGTTAAAATGAAAGTTGTAATCAATATATATTTAATTAATCACAAGTTATACGAAATTAACTCGATTAATCAAATCTGTAAATCTAGGGGATTTTTCTTGCCTTATCAGAGTTGTGATCAAATATAATTTATTGTTGCATAATAAAAATCATTCAGGAATATTTAAATCTCATAATCATACTTTCCAAAAATATAAAATGAATAATTTTTTTAAATTAAATTATAGATACTTATAACATGTTTACTTTGGAAAGATTTGTTTTACCTTATTTTACACAACGGAACTAACTCTTTCCCATATTCAGAGAAGAGGCCTAGGAAAATGATAGCAAGGTTAGTGCAGGGCCCAGATAGTGAATGAGTTGGGCTTATTTGTGAAAATTTTGCGAAAAGCTGGGCTGGCGAGTGTTTCCAAAATTACTAGGCCTAAGCCCGTATTTGCAAATGGCCGAAGGCGAGGGACTCCAATCACAGGCTGATACGCAATAAATCAAGATTTTTTTAAAAAAAAATAAAAATTCGAGACCCAGTAAATTAAGAATTTTTTTTTTTTTAAGTTATGAATTTTCAAATGTTTTTATTTATTATACAATTACAAGTTAAATTCCTTTTAAATTTTTATTTTAAAAAATAAATATCATTCACTTCGTAAAAAGTTATTAATTATGAATCATTAAATATATTTTCTTAATATACCTTAATTTTCGTAATTTAACCATTTTTTGTAGTTATAATAGTTAACGATTCTTGGCAAACTCTTGTGTTACCTTAGAAAGAAAATCATTCTAAATTTTAAATAAATAATTTTTAAATTATTATGAACTAATAAATATTATTACCCGTAATTCTAATTAAAAAAATTAAAAAATTAAAAAAAAAAAACACATAAATCTTATAGCGACAAGCTAAAATTTACCTCAAGTAGCATGAACATTCGCATGACTTAAAAAATTTAACTGGTGCATTCTCGTATTTTCATATTCTCCTATATCGCAAATACAAAAATCATAAAAAGGAATGCACAGGTTTAATTAATACCTGATAAAAACCAAAGTTAGAGTCTATACGGCAAACAAAAAAATTGGTTAGAAAATACCCTATATATATATAAACCAAAGGAATTCTTTGGCACATTCATTTAGTGAAGAGTAAAAAGTACACAGTCTAAGCTTGAAAAGGCACCAAAAACAACCAAAACCACAACATTAAAAACGTAATTAATTACTGAATATAAGATTGGCCAGTGATATCAAGATCTCGGTCACCAGTGGAAGGCGGAGGTTGGTGCTTGGGCTGAAAATCTGGCTTCTCAGCCGGCCCGTCAGCACTTTGGGTCTCACTGGCTGGTGGTTTGGATGGTTTGTCTCTGTCCTGCATAGGCTCTGGCTCATTACCATACATTCCGCCACCATAGGCATCACGAGTCAATGGCTTCATGGGTGTCATTTGAGGTGGCTGATTCAGTCTCCCCTCCTTTTCTTGCTTCTCCTGATCCCCTTCCATTGCGTGGTTGCTCTGTTCGGTCTAATCGGTCACTAAGCACTTGAGCTTTGAAGTACTGCTTGGTGTCCCAATTTTTTGACACGTTGAAGTCTAATCATGTGGCAGCTTATTTAGCTGCCACGTGCGTGTATCGCTCGCACCTTTTTCTTTATTTTCTTTTTTTGTTTTTATTTTTTATTTTGTTTTTGCAATTACTTTTTTGGGCTCATACATAGATGACGCAGAAAATGTAAAATAAACTTTGGTGTGGTGGGCCGGAAAAGTGTCATCTATCCGAAGGGTTTTATTAAACGGGCTTCATTTTTTATTCGGTTTATTGAGCTAGGTGGAACCGATGAGGCCCACCTCCCAATTCTGATATTGTGAATATAATAAATATTGGTTAATCCAATGTTATAAATGAAGTAATAAAAAATGTTTTTGATTTATTCAAAAGGTTGGCTTGAGTAAAAATAATTCTAATATCTTAAATAAGTGGTCTTGATTGGATTTGAATCTTTATATACATAAAAAGTTTTTTATATAGTTATATCTTCTTTTTATGTTCGACATAATAGGAAAGAATTAGTTTAAATTTGAAATACGTTAAAGATATATATATATTTTTTGGGATTTATTAGATCATGAATTGGATCAAATATATATTTTTTTATGCATTGACATGAGTTATTGGTGAACCAAAAAAAACCTGACTTTTAAAATCAATAAATTAAAATATAGATGTGATTCAATATCGATCTTGTCTAATAGATAATAAATTTAGTCTTGATTAATATGAATATTAATTAAAAAAATATCTCTTTGTTAATCAATATCCAAAAAAAAATTGGATGTTAAGAAAAAATATGAAAGATGAATGATTAAAACGTGGAACCTTGTCTTTTTTTAAAAAAAAAAAAAAATTCCCTTGCATGTTTTCAGTTGAGATGCCTTCTAATCATCTCCACTGACTCAACAGCAACGTCGTATGACTATATTATACATCAACCACTGACAAAAATACGATCGTGAATTCCTTACCACTCTCTTTTAAGAACAGAATTCCCTGTACCGTTCAGCTTCATGCATACTATCACCGTTTTGCTAACGAATCTCGTGACTTATAATTTAAACCTTATCTCTTGGCACAACCCAAGATGCAAGAAGCAGAGAGGGTCAAGGACAAGTTCCTCCAAGATTATCTGTCATGTCTGGCCTCAAGTTCTCTCAGTGTCTCGTAAGTCCAACAATGGTGGAATTTATTTAATCGATGGAATATTTTGGTCCTAATAAGAGATTGACCCTTGACGAGTCAGAGCACAACGTGGTCAGCTTGGAACCTTTGAAGTTCAGTTCTGATGTTAATTAAACCAATAACATGGTTGACATTAGAGGACTCTATGTAGACTTTAAGCATAATTTTTTATAAGGTTTCAACTTCCATTGGTTTAGGTGGCAGTTCAAGTCACCAATGGCAATGACTAGCTATTTTTGTAATCAATGCAAGCATATGGATTATAGTAATCTATGTCTAGTCATTTCTGCTCATATACCAGTTTTCTGTGTGCCACGAGGAGTAGCAAATTGCTGGACATCAGTGGGCATGTTATCTCATGTCTTAATCAATGTTGTACAAACCAATTACTTGGTGCCAACCAAGGGTTTTGTTAGGCATAGAGACTAGCAGAGTCTATGTTCTAAACCAGTTCTAAAATCCACAGATCGTGGGAGTTGGCAAACTGCTAGCAGCAGTTGTTATTGGATAGGACATGCATTTCAAAAATTTATATATTTTACCTGTTTTTAATGAAAATTTCTCACTTTTTATGTATATTTGTTGTAAAATATTTGTCTAGTCAAAAATTTAAATAAAATATGTTTTTAAAATACTCAATTAATTTTTTCATCTCTTGTTTTTTTTAATAACAATTAAAAAAATCAATATGATTTATACTTTTATCTTATACATATAAATATTTTTAAGATGAAAATTTTAAAATAAACTTTTTTGCTGCATAAAAAATATTCATTCTTGTAAGGACTTTATTGCATGCCAAATTTTAAATTTGAAAACTAACAATTTTAATAAAAAATGCATTTTAGAAAAGTATGAAAAAAATAATTATATAATTTAATACTTAATAACTTTTTTACACTATATATATATAATGTCAAATAGGACGATCGTTTTAGGACAGAGAGTATAATTTTCACCTGCACTAAACAATTATGTTCAAGACAATTTTTGTCTAGTCATTTTTTTTCTGGGTTTTTTCCATTCAAAATGAGCTGTTTTCTTTTTATGAATTCATTTGTGTTTTTGTTACACCAAATCACACAATCCTTTAATAAACATGAACCCACCTTAATTTTTAATAAGAGTTTTTTTTATTGTCCGCAAAAGTTAGAAATTTTACAAATCATCTAAGGATAGGACTTGAACCCAAAACCTCCTCATGTCCATCTTAAGTAAAGTCCTTATTATTTATGGTAATCCATTTGGGTTAAAATGCGATGCATATTATTTATTTCTATTGTGAAGTTAATGGGTTGCATTTGGATAATTGATTAAATTACATAACCTAAATGGGAAAGTGAGGAAATTTCGAGCATATAACATACAAAAAAAGGTTTTGAGCTAGTAGGCTAATAAAATAAATTAAGTTAATTATTTTATCATAACAATTAGCTTGCACGAAATAGTTGTTTTTCCATGAAATATTTCGTCAAAAAAAAAAGAAGAGAAAGTAGAACGAATAATTGCCAAAAAGAGGTGCCTTTTCCAAGCCTTCGAAGGTGGCTAATTGACCATTATTGGATCTGATTAACTCGGACATGCATAAATAAATCTGGCTTTTAAAGATTTATGCAGGCTGATGCAGCGTTATCGAATCGAAGATCCTTAAGCTGTCTTTAATCTTCTTCAGGTTCCTGGTTCGGCGTAAGATCATTGGGAACCCTGTGTATCTACATCGAATTCCTAACATAACAGATTGTAAGTAGCAGCATTAATTGCCAAAAAGATTTGCATTTAAGCGATCCACGTGAGTTCGACCCACATGCCGTAGCTATACTAATTAATAGCTGTGAAAACTGAAGAGTCCAGAACAGGAACACGAATGTGCTGTTTCTTCTTCTTCTTGTTGTTTTTTTTTTTTTTTTTTCAAAACCGGAAAGGTTGGTCTAATAATTAATTAAGAGTTTATAGGTCTCTTCTTTGATTGTTTGGGTCCGAATTGTGAATCAGTCTGTGAGAATTAGAATACATGTGAATTCTTCAGTATTGAAGTTATATTCCTTTTTCATTTTTTCTGTCTTGTTTGTTTTTTTATTTATATGTATTCGAAAATGTTTGTTTCATCAAAATTTTAAATGATGTATTTTTTAAAAATATTACTAAGTAAAATCTATTTTAATAACCGATAATTCTATAAAAAAATAAAAATTAATGGTATTATTAATCTCAGTTAATATATATATGTTTGAAACAAAGAGACTATGTAAAATTAATTTGAGCGTGTAAAGATTATTTTGAAAATACCAATAAAAGTGAAACCAAAACAAAGTATTTATTAAAAAATTCCCAGGGTCTATGATAAGTTAGGTAGAGAAGGGAATTAATAGAAGATTGAAACCAATTTATGGAAGTGTACATTACATATTAGATGTCTGAAGAGTCCTGAGAACTAACGCGTTTGCCCAACTTGTTGCATATCAAACCCATACTTTTTTCTTTAACCCCCACATGGTGATCCAGGTGTACGTGCATAACGTCTGTAATACACCCTGGCATGGTATGTAAAGTTTCATTAATTGGAATTTTATAGTCCTACATCATCATAAGATTAATCCGAGGTAAAATTAAAATTCATCTATATTAAATACTTCAATTATTACGCACTGCTTTCGTTCTAAAAAGACTGTCATATTTGATTTTTTATACAGATTAAGAATATTATTAATTGTCATGTTTATCAAGATCTTTTGTTTATATTTTTTAAAAAAATTATTTGAATTTTTTGTTTTACAAAATAGATTTTAATTAAAAATATTTTAGAAAATTATATCATTCAAAATTTTAACCAGTATTTTAAAATAAAAAAGCAAACTTTTTATGAAGTAGAAGAAATACATCTCATTGAATAAAATTTTCACTTAAGAGGGAATGCTAGAATACCTATGATATTAATCAACATGAGAGTTAATGAAAAATTATTATAAAATTTTTGGTTTATCTTAAAAATTTAGTCTGGATTAACGTGCTTAATCAGGAGGTAATTAATTCATAAGTAACATCAATGATTAACCTCAAAAACTTGGAGCAAAGTAAGATATGATTAGGATATGAGAGTTGGGCTACAAGCCAAAGAAAGCCAGCATGTCAAAACCACGTGTGTCTCCTCAGTAGTTGAAATGGAAACCATAACCCTTGCCTCTTTGCCTCGTTTTGCAAACCCTAAGCTAACCCACTTGGTTAAAACTTAAAACTAGATTAACAGCTGGATTTATTCGCGGATCCAGTCCCCTTCACCCATCCCTAACACCCTCGTGCACGTTAGTTGTCCTCCCTTTATAAACCCCTCTTCTCCTTTCTTTTCTTCTCACAGAAAAAAAAAACATTACAACTCCAAAATCCCAAGGCAAAAAAATATCACCAAACCTCAAAATGGTAGGCGTGTTCAAGCGCTCTCTTTCATTTCCTAACAAAATTCCTAGCCGTACTCCATCAAAACCATCCATCTCTTACCACAATAGATCCATCAGTCTTCCATGCAGATCACACCCTTTGATTTCCCAGCTCCAAAATGAGATCGATGAGCTTAAAACTTGGTCATCCAAAGCAGAAAACAGAACGTCTGTTTGGCTTTGTGACGGCTTAAGTCGTCTTAAAGATGTTCAAGATTCTTTAGACGACATCCTTCAGTTACCTCAAACACAAGACTCTCTTCGTCGACAGCCTAAATGGGTGGAGAAGCTTCTTGAAGACTTTCTTCGCTTTGTCGATGTTTATGGAATCTTCCAAACATTAGTTTTGGCAGTTAAAGACGATCAACTTGCTGCACGGGTAGCTATAAGGAAGAAAGATGACTCGAAGATTGCTTTATACATCAAGTCACGCAAGAAAACGGCTAAAGAAATAGCTAAACTCGTTTACACAGTTCGATGCATCGCAGGATGCCCCTTTCCAGGATTGGATTCAGGACTGTCCGTTGGCGATACTGAGTTGGTTGGTGTTATTATAGATGTTATCGAAGTAAGTGTGTTGGTTTCGGCTGCTCTTTTTAATGGAATCTCATCCTCATTTGCGTCAAGAAAATCATCCTGGATTGGACTAAGGTTGCCGAAGAAGGCGAAGAAGGTTAAAATTGACGAAGGGATTCAAGAATTTCAAGAAATTGGAGTTGAGAGCTTGTGGGGGTTGAGAAAGAAGGGAGATGAAGAGGTGAGGATGGTTTTGAAACGGATGCAAGAATTGGAGGGGTGTATCGGTGATATTGAAACTGGTGGTGAAAGAGTGTTTAGGAGTTTGCTTAACACTAGGGTTTCATTACTCAATAGTCTCGCCCTATAGAGAGGAAAAAAGAAATATATCATATTGTAATTTAGTTTTTATTTTATTCTCTCTTTTCTTCTGTTTCTTCAGTGAAAGCAAATGAAAACTGTCAAAATTAGTGTCAAGATTTGAATAGAAATGGAATAGTGTGCAGTCTTGAATATCATCTCCTCCTTTGCCTTCAAAGATTTAATTCTTGTTTTTTTTTCTTAATTTATTTTTAAAAAAATAAAAAAGAACCTCTATATATAAGCAATATAAGCAGAAATTATGGCGGCATATTTAGAATTTTTAATTTTCAATCAATAACTGTAGGGATATAATTGTGTGACCAAAAGATTGTGTGTGAACATATATATATATTCACCAATCATTCTCGATATTGCATACACAAAGGCAGGCCTAACGAATAACGTGGCAATGTTGCAATACAGCTAAACTTCACGTGGATGTGTTAAGTGTGTGTGTATATATATATGCACCATATGACATTTTGATAATGTGTCTTGGAATTTGACAATTATATGTATAGTATGGAAAATTTAATATAGACTGTGTGTATAAGTAAATTATTTAATTAATTACCTGTTTTTTACTTATTTCATGGGTAGTTTTAATTTAGGAGAGATGGTTATAGACTTTAGAATGATATGGTGAGTTATTGATTAATATATTTCAATTACCATGTAATTAAAAAGGTAAGCCAAAATGGTTGACTTGAATGAAATAAGTTCTAGTTGCTTAAACATGCGGTTTGGAGTTCAAATCCTTGTATATGCAGAAAACTCTTTAGATAGCTATTATCGTCTTGTATAGCCGATCGAATAACGAGGAATTAATCCGAACTTTTGACCTAGTGATAAGGTTAGAGCAAGGCTTAAGAATTTTGAAAAATAATTGGGATCAATGATTCAGTTTATCATTATCATAATGATAGGAAAATTCTCTAATTTATTTTTATATTTTTAATCGACTCAATTTTATCTTTAAATATATATCAAGTATTTGATCTATTATCTAGTAAGTTTTTCAAACAAAATTATTGAAATTAATCATACTATTTGTATATGAAAATTTTCTATCAGATTGTTTGTCGGGGTAATTTCAGAATAAAAAATAATTATATACAAATCAAGTGAATATTCTACTAGTTTGGCCTAAAAATCTAAACAAAATAATAAATTAAAAATTAACGAATATCCAAAAATAAAATTAATTTAATTGAAAATATAAGAATAAATAAAAAAATTGTTTATTATATAAAAATATATTTAACTATTAACCCAAATAAATATGGTGACAATGGAGGCCATACGGTGCAGTAGCATGTAAATTTTTAGTTATTTTAATTAATTGAAGTTTATACAGCATCGCCGTTTGGAGATGACTTGTTAAAAATCAAATGCGTACTTGGTTGTTAAATTGTCCCATGGGATAGTTTAAATTCAAACACCAAGAAAAGTGAAAGAGGAATTTAAATACATGACACGACTATTTTTATTGTGTAGTTAAGAAATGTTGGTTTTTTTTCTTGCAAATTTTCCATACTAAAATTTCATACAGATTAATACATCATTCACGTAATAAGCCATAGAATATAAGTTTTAAGAGTGATAAATGATTGATTTCTCATATATATATAACATGCGTTTGTATAAAAAAATGTATATGAAGAATTTTTTTGTATAACCTTATTCACATATATGTTGATATAATTAACATGCATTTGCATAAAAATTTGTATGAAAAATTCATTCGTATAATATTATTCAAAATATGGCATATATTTGTATAAAAATTTAGTATGAAAAAATTGTTTGTATAACATTATTCAAAATATGTGCTGATATGCTGATATGACATACGTTTATATAAAAATTTTATATGAAAAATTATGTAGTAATATTACATTTTGTGTGAAAATTTTGTTTGTATAACATTAATTATTCAAAACATAATTTTTGAGAAAATTAACTTTGTTGTTGGGCAACTAATTGAAGACACAAAAAACACGTTACATGTAGGTTTGCACGTTGATGAGTCGTTTACCAATTGAAGCAAAGTGGCACATGGTATGCTAGCATAATTGCATTATAGCAGGTGATTTTATTAGTTTAAAATATTGCTGGTTTTGCTGGAAAGCTCATTTATAATTAAATGCAATCATTAATTCTTTCATCATGACTTTTGTTTATAGATAATAGAAAACCATGCACAATGCTTCCTATCATTGGCATTGCTTCGATCCCTTTCTAACTTGTTCTCGAAACTCAATACATGGCCTCCACCGGCATTGCCAGCTGAAATTAGCTCAGAACTTAAATTGTTTTGACATCCCAACTAAAAGAAGAGAACAAAAGAGCTAAGGATGTGGTCCCTTGATCTTTAAGGGTGCCAATTTTATGGCTGGTGGAGGGGAGAAAAATGAACAAAATGGTCTATATAATGCATGCATGAACACTTGTGAGGTCTATGATTATGAGTTTTGCAACCCTCAAATAATTGAACTTCATTTTCGGCACTTATCATTAGGTCAATTCATTTCAATTGGTACATTGAACGCGGTGGATATATGGATCCGTATTTGGATTATATACTTTATTTATTTTAAAGAGTTTGTATATCTATTTTATTGTATATTTTTCTAAACTATCCTTGATTAAAATTTATTTTGTAAAAAAAGGTTCAAATAAAAATCTCAAAAAAAAGAATACTTTAACAAAAAAATATTGAACAAAGGATATTGATATGACATAACAATTAATAGTTTTTTTAAAATTTATGAGAAAATCAAAGAGAATAATATCTTTGGGACATAATAAATTAACAAATTAGCATTAAATTGATTTTCTTTTATGTTTTTCATATATATGTTAGAACTATCGAAAAACATCAAAATAATCTTTTTTAGTACATATTTACTTTTTGAAAAACACTTCCACAACATTATCAAACACAAATTCAATCAATAATGGTTGTACTTACTTTTGATTGATTTTCTAACTACTCTATTACAAGCATGTCGACTGGTTAAAGGTTGATGGGCCGTCTCTCCAACAGTGCAACCTGCCCATACAGAAATATCAGCCCAATTTCATTCTACTGGCCTACTACAATATTGCTAAGGCCCAGAGTTTTCTCAAAAGACGATTTGGCCCATCTAGAATAGGCCCAACACAGATTCTTTATCCACATCGCAAGGCTAATGTAAAAGCAGTACTTGGACCCGATAATGTCCGTACGTTAGGCTCATGCGACTTCACCACCGTCCTCCTTTTGTCTATTTTTTGTTTTTCTTCTGCCCGTCATTTCACCGTTTGTCTAGAGTAAAATTTCTCCGCTTCAGGTACGTGTCAATAACTTGGATTAAAAATTCAATATATAAAGATAATTATTCGATTTTTTTACACATTTTTAATTAAATCAATTTTATCTTTAAATATACTTTACGTTTCTATATTATTTTCTTATTGAAAATTTCAAGTCAAATTACTAGAATTATTCAAATAATTTGAACATGATTAATTTTTATTAACAAAATTCCTTAACAAGCCGATCAAATAGAAGATTTTTATATACAAATTACATAACTAATTTTCATAGTTTACCTTAAAAATCTTGTTGGGAAGATAGATTAGATTTTGATGTATAATGAAGGATAAAATTGACTCAATTAAAGATAAAAAGATGGATCGAAAACTTATCATATTATATAATAATAGATTAAATAATTAACTCTAATAATTTTTCAAATCAATATATAAATTATTCGATTTTTATATATCTTTTAATTAAATCAATTTTATCCTTAAATATACTTTAAATTTCTACATTATTTTCTTATTGAAAATTTCAGGTCAAATTACTAGAATTATTCATGTAATTTGTACATGATTAATTTCTATTATCAAAATACTTTTACAAACTAGTCAAATACAAGGTTTTTATATACAAATTGTGTGACTAATTTTGATAGTTTGACTTAAAAATCTTGCTAAGAAAATTTATTAGACATTTAATGTACAATGAAGGATGAAATTGACTCGATTAAATATATAAAGACGGATTGAAAAATTATCATATTATATCAAGATACATTGAATCATTAACTCTAATAATTTTTCAAATCAATATATAAATTATTCGATTTTTGTCAAAATTATCTAATAGGATAGCATTCTCTGATTTGTCTTTCATTCTAAACTATTGTCTAATTCATGATGTGGAGGATAAAAATGGAATTAAGTTACACATGAAATTAGTGACTGCTATGACAATTTGTACTCAAATTTATTAATTATCTCCTTGATGCTGACTTTTTTTATCATCGTCAATTGTTTTTAGAACTGCATTTTCTGATGTTTTATGTTTTAATCAAAACTTCAATCAAGAGCACAGTCATTTCCTAATATAATTAAAATGTGCAATTTCAAGGTGGGTTTTCCAAATATGCTAATTGTTTAGTTCTTAAATGCACCGTTCAAGTTTCGACTGCCAAATTCTCTTCCGAAGCAAGAGTCTCTCGGAGGAGATGGAAATATGGAGAAATTTTATAATATATCGAAGTAATTAGTGGCATGTATAGTAGTTATTCTATTAGCTCATTTTGAGGAGAGAGATAGACACAAAAACAATAGTGAAATTACATTCATGCTCACAAAAGTGATAAAAAAATTTTCACGTCCGCTCAAATTTTTTTATTTTTTCTCTCCTTTTTTTTTTGTCTATTTCTCTCTTCAAAGTGAGCCTATGAAATAATTAATGTACATGCTACTAATTACTCATGATATATTATAAAATTACTCTTAAAATATGCTACAGTGCAATCGATTGGACCCATTTCATATTAGACCGTTACAAGATTATCCTGCATGAAGGTTTCTCGCAGTTGTCTTGTCTCAAGATCCTCGTGACACTTTTATTTTTTTTAATCCTCGTTTTGAACTTTTGCTGAATTTGATAAGTAAATTATAAACTATCCCTTTTTGTTTTGACAAACAAATTAATTATTTTCTTTTTTTTATACTAATTATTTAATTTTATACGTTTTAAATTTTTTTAATAATTTAACTTTTTCATCATTTTTTTGTCAGATTAATAATTTTTTGAAAAAAATTTATTTTCGTTGATACTTTATTTTTCATTCGTCTACTTTTTTTTTTTCAATAAAAAATCAAATAAAAGATAATTTAAAAATCAAAATTATTGATCTAATAAAAAACGAATGAAAAAACTCGGTTATTGATGAAATTAAAATACGAAAAAATGATTATTTTTTTTAAAAAATTATTTATTTATTTTTCTAAACGAGTGGCACTAATTTATAATTTATTCTAAATTTGAGTACGTATTTTCGTTTTTGGCAGAGGTAGAAAACGCTGTGGGGTACTACTTGTCTAGTCTTTGAAAGCGAAATTGCCCATCAGACGGGGGCCACCGGATGTGATTCTTGATAAGCTTCAGTTAGGTCTCAGAAATATAAAACATGGAACAGCATTCGTCATTTCCTTCTCCCATTTTAGTCACCCATTGCTTGGTCGTTTCATTTTTATTTTTTTTTTAAGTTCCAAATCTTGTATGCCTTTAAAATAATTAATTTTTCAAGACAAGGTTCGTATTTAAAATCATTCGGATAAATAAATTGGTCCAAAAATATTTCTTAATATTGAGAAAAAAAAGGAAGAAGAAGAAATTAATACATTGCTGGAACCAAACCAATCCAATCCCCATCCAAAGCCTGGGTTAGGTTCTAACTAGATCCAGCTGCGTTGGCTTTCATCCGTTGTTTTCATTCTGGTACTTCAATATTGGAGTTTAGTACGTAGGAGTACGTAGTATATGTGAGTCAGGGAGGGGACCTTGCCCTCTTGCCGTGGCCACATGTAGAACCATGTGGTGGCATAATTTCTTATTTTCTTAGTTGCAATTTGTTCTCTCATACTAATAATAATAATAATAATAATAAGAAAGAACAAATAAGACTTGATCTAACGATTGTATATCTAATTAATTTTTTTAATAAAATAAAGTTTGAATTCTGATTTTTTGATAATTGTATAATGAGAAGGACTAGTATATTGTGTAGTTTAAAAAATCCATTAGGTCTTCTATAAATTAAAAAAATATATATATTAGGAGTTAGTAGTATCCTAAATATTGTATTGTGCTATTTCACAAAAACATGAGATTTATAAATTATTTTTACGACAAATCTTATGTTTTTACAAAAAAGAAAACAGAGGGACACACATGATAGATTTTTAAAATGTAGCCCATGTTTTTTTTTTATAAAAAAGAAAAATACAATTTTCGATATATAAATAATTTTTTTTATTAGGCATTATAAAAAGCTAAAAGGTGTAGCCTTTCCTAGGAAACAGGACAGGATACAAGGCTGGGAACGAGGACCATGCTTCCATGTCGACTCGTCCTTGGCTCGTGGCACACATTGAGAAACAAAGCAAAAGGAGAGACAATAGAGACAAGTTATAACGAGTTGGAATTCCACTCCAACCTCCTTTTAAGATGCAACAGATTCAAATTCCCCATCATGAACGTGCCTCTTTTCTTTTCCGTGTCTTACTGAATCTAAAATGCTTAAAAGGAGAACACATAGCCTTCTTCCTTCGGTAACCCATCATTCCTCGTCCCTTTCCTCACTTTTATAACGTCCTGCATGCCTTTGTACAATCAATTGCCAGGCCACTTAGGCCTTAGCCAGACAGAACCACCCACCCAATTCAGGAGTCAATTATAAATCAGTCCCTCTAGTTTTAAGAAACAAATTAATTAGTTCTTTTTGTTTCAAAAACTAATTAAACATTTCTTTTTTTTTTTGTTCTTTTATTTTAAATAATAGAAAAATAAAAAAATAAATAGATATTATGAAAATATTAACGAGCAAATAAGACATTTTTTATGATAAAATAATATTAAATCAAATATGATTAACACCAACTAATGAACTAAATAGTTACTTTTTAAAACAAAAAGGATTAATCAATTTGTTTCTAAAAAATCGAGGGATTAATTTATAATTTACTCCCCTACTTCAGTTGAAATGTATTCCCTCCCGTCAACCAATTGTCTTTCTCCATTCTGGCATTTGTGGATCTCTCTGCTTGCACTTTATGCCAAAACAAGAATATAAAAACAAAGCCATCCTCGTTGGTTTCAATCAATCAATTAAAGGGTTGAAATATTTTTGTCCACATAATTTCATCATAAAAAAACAAGATTACCAAATTATGACTACTATTATGGAATGATTTGAAAATTAGATCGTCTTTTTGGCTTTTCAAATCCTCTATGATGGGTTGTACGTAGGTTTAATAGCATAAGCTATGAAAAAGGTGAAATGTATAGTTCCTCTATCATACTTTTATGGTACAATATTCCAATAATTCTCAATATATTGGTATTTATATTTTCTTTTAAATAAACGAGGGGTGGAACTTTGAAATTTTTTCCAAGATGTACGGAAGGAAGATAGGTCCTCAGTTGACCTCCATTCTCGGGGGACCATTCCCGTCGCCTTTACTAATAAAAAAATAATTTTTTTTCATAATATTATTTAATAAGCGTAGCCGACTACCAGATTTGTACTCTCATTTCTTGAATAAAATTGGGATTTGATGTATGATTTTTACTATGAATTTTTTATTTATTTGAGTAGAACTTCGGGTGTGTATATAATTTATCTTTTGAGTGACATATATACAAGATTAAATTGTTATATACACTGAAATTATATTTTGGGTTGATGGTTTTATTTGTAATTAATTATTCAATATTATTTTATATTTTTAATTAAATTAATTTTATCTTTGGATGTATATTAGGTATCAAATCTATTTTTTTAATAAAATTTTTAGACTAGACTAATAAAATCAATTACACAATTTTCAAATGAAAAATTTCTATTTCATTGATTTGTATGGATATTTCGATAATAAAAAAACTATGTATAAATTACGTAAATAATTTTAATAGTTTGATCTCAATAATAAAATAAATTGAAAACTTAATTTATATTAAATAATAAAATTGACTTAATTAAAAATATAAAAATAAATTAAAAAAGTATCTTATTCTATGACGATAGATCTGCTTTTAATTTATTTATTTTTTCTCACTTAAGCATGAGATATGTAATTAGGGAAACTAATGTTCCCTAATGTAAATATTGGGAAGCAAAAATCTAACGACCATATATGCAAAAACCTCAAAAATACAAAAGAGACGTTATGTCTATCCCGCCAGCCCCCTTCCGTGTGCCACTCCATTAAAGCTTATTCAGGACACGATAACTTCACTTTCTTTCTTTCTCTCCCTAATTTATGCAGCTTTAAATGCATTTTTTAAAAACAAATTTAAACCTCGTTTAACGTTCCTCCCACCAAACAAAACATTCACTTCCCCCTCTTCAGACCAGACCAGACCAGACCACAAGATCTCTTCCTGTCTGGTTCAACTCACCACTTCATGGGCTGCTCCACTTCAAGAATCGACCAGCTCCCCGCAGTGTCTTTATGCCACGACCGCTGTAAGTTCCTTGAAGAAGCTCTCTACCAAAGCTATGCCCTCGCTGATGCTCATGTTGCTTATATGCACTCCCTCAAGTCTCTTGGCCCTACTCTTCACCGTTTCTTTGAACTAACCCTCATCAATAATCACTCAGATTCTCAATCTAATGGCGACGGTGAAGCTGTTACCAAACTCAGTAAACCCTCGTCACCTGATAATTGTCCCTCAAGTTCAACAAACTCGGAAACTTCTCACATTGAGTTTCGCTCTGATTCAGAAGATGAAGAATTTAGAGACAACAAAGATTTTGATTCGTTTCATAGAATCCATCAAAATCAGTCTAATTCTTATTCTTATGACCATCGTGACTATAATAAATATGATTATCCGGCATGGAAAACTCCTCCACCTCCGGCTCCAAGTAGTTCAGCCTGGGATTTCTTGAATTTCTTTGAAACATATGAAAGATATGAATTACCAGCCAAAGATAAGGAATTCATGAATGAAATTCGTGGAGAAGATAAACGTGGTAAAAATGGAGAAGAAGATAGGAGGGGAGTGAAATTGAAACCAGAGAAAGGTAATAATGTGAAGCAGAATGAGGTTAAAGTGGTAGAAAAGAAAGTTGAGCCTGAGAAAGAGGAGAGTAAAGAGAGTAAAGATTTGGGTCAGCAAGCTAAAAATCAAAGTGTCTTGGAGGTTATGAAAGAAGTAGAGGTTTTGTTTGACAGAGCTGCAGAGTCAGGAAATCAAGTTTTAAAAATACTTGATGCAGGGAAATTCAAATATTATTACAAAAATTCTGCTTATCAAGGTACATTTGTTTTTTTTTTTTTTTTAATATAGCTTAATTTCTTGTTTAACAATTAGTCTGTTTTGAATATCGTCGAGAGTAATTTGATTGTTTTTTGTTTGTAAAGAAGTTTCTTCCAAGATGTTGCATACTGTTAATCCATCTTTTTTGGAGAAGAATGGTTCTGTTCATGGGGGCTTTGATGAGGATTTAGGTATAATTTCAGTGAATCTGTCTTCTACTCTTAGGAAGCTGTGCTTGTGGGAGAAGAAACTCTATGATGAAGTCAAGGTAGGCTTTACCCTTTTCCAAGAAGAATTGAATCCTACTTAGTGACTTTTTATGTTTGCTTTGTTCTTTTTCTTTTGCTTTCTTTTTGACGTGCTTCCCAGGCCACTGGAAAAAAGAAAGCAAAAATAGCCAACTGCTTGGCAAATATGAGGTTGAAAATTAAAACATCTAATTCCCTTTTTCTGTTTGTTACGGAAGAAATTAGTTCTTGATTCAGTTTCAAGCTAAACGTGATAGTTTTAAATTCAGTGGTCATATTTCAACGAAAACTATAGCGGAAAATCTGTATTCAAGAGTAAGTATATTGGATTGGCTGCACCGTAATTTTGATCAGCTTCTTCATTTTGTCTCCTTAATCTTTGGACTTGTAAAGAAGTGAATGCTTAGAAATGATACGGCGTTTCTTATGTTGCAGGCTGAGGAAAAATTGCGTATCGTTCATGCGAAGAACTGTAGGCAGATTAACAATTTGGGTGAGAAAGGTGCTGATGCCAATAAAGTTAACTCCACTCAAGCTTTGCTGAGGATGCTATCTACTAAAATCAAAGTTGCAATTCAAGTTATTGACAAGATATCAATTACTATCAGTAAATTGAGGGATGAAGAGTTGTGGCCACAGATCAGTGACTTGATTGAAAAGTACGTTCCTGTTTAATTTCCCACAAGTTAATTTGTAGTTAATGCCACTGAGGTTTGAATTCCACTTTATTTTTGCAGTTTGTTACTTTTTTACTAGAGATTAATGATCTGCAATAAATTTTAAGATGTAGCTTCTCTTGATGCTTGCTTGTCTTGTAATTTTCTTGCGCCGCTCTGATCCTTTTACATGGCAGGTTACTTGGCATGTGGAAAGTTATGCTAGAATGTCACAGATGTCAGTCCCAGGCAGTTATCGAAGCCAGGAGTTTGGATGCCATTGCATCCAGTGTGAAGTTCAGTGATGCTTATCTCGAAGCGGCAATACAACTCAAGATTGAGCTTCAAAATTGGAATCTAAGCTTTTCCAATTGGATCAATGCCCAAAGAGGCTATGTCAAAGCATTGAATGGCTGGCTTCTGAGATGTCTTCCATCTGAACCTGAAGAAATGCCACATGATGTGCCACCATCCTCCCCTGGTAGGATAGGAGCACCTCCAGTGTTTGCGTTCTGTAACCAGTGGTCTCATTCCATTGATGGGGTCTCAGAGAATGAAGTAATTTATGCAATGAATGGATTTTTTGCCTGTGTAAATCATTTCGTGGAACGGCATCACGTATACCTACAGCAAAAACTGACTACAGACAAGGACATGGAGAAAAAAATGAAGATCTTGGAGAGGGAGGGGCAAAGGTTGCAGAAGGTGATGCAAGCTCGAGGGAAGATGTTTCAAGTCGGCAGGACTGTGCATCAGAGCGAAACGATCAATAATAGTAGTCTTCAGTTGGGTCTGAAACAAATTTTTGTAGCCATAGAGCAGTTTTCTGCCGAAAACATGCACGGTTACGAGGAGCTTCATGTGCACGTTGAACATAGTAGACTCAGTGAAGAGAATCCCGCATCTTAACCAGTAATTATGCATTATATATGAATTAATTTTTTAGCTGAAGCAGTTTTTGTACTTGGTTAAAAGAATTATGCTGTGCATTCGCTTCCTGAAGTCCACGAGGCTGAGTTGTGGATTCTTTCTTCCCAGCCTTTGCTCGTTCACCTCCTCAACTATGGATAGTTCTGATACTGAGTGAAATAACAAGGAGGGCATCCTGGCTGCAGTATTTGAGCTAGAATATTATATTTAGTGGTTCAGTTCAGCCTCCATTGAGGAATGTTTGCAGTGTTTGATAGGATGCAAGTGTAATATTGTTAGGATTTTTTGACATCTTCTAAGGTGTGGTTGTTTTTTTTTTTTTTTTTTTTTTACCTGTTTGTTTGAGAATTTGCAGTTTTTATCAATTTTTTATTAAGTGTTATTGGGCTGAGCTTCTAAAGTTAACTTAATGAGTAAGACGTTTTTTTACACTCAATTTCTTTCAACCGAAATGAGATAAATCAACAATCATTTTTTATATAAATTGCGCTCTAAGTTAGTTATTTTTCATCAAGTGCAAGTTGGCATGTGAGAAATTATTTATCCGGACTTTGATTTTTCTCAACCTAAAACTTAGTTCAAGAAGCAAAACTTTTTCTTACATTTATAAATAAATATTTAATTTAATCGATGTGAAATAACATAACATTTTACCATTATTTGCAGCTTATCCTGTTAGGGGATCGTTCTCAGCTTTCTTACTGGGTTATATTAGTTGTTCCTGTTGGCAATACGGAGGAATTCGTTGTTGTAAATTTGTTTTCCGGTGAATAAAACCTTTTTCTAATTCAAATTCGAATTTGTAGTGGAATGGATTTGCGTGAGCAGTATTATTTTTAAACAATGCACCTATCTTCGGCCTAATGTCTTCAGCTGTGTTGATTAATTGGGCACATACAAAGAAAGTGACGGGATCCTCAATCCCTGTTTACTTGTTTTTTGGGTTAAGCGATTTTGCTCCCCTTTACTTGGAGTAAATTATAAATTAATTTTCTCTATTTTGAGAAACAAATTAGTAAGTCTCTTATTTTAAAAACTGATTTTTTAGTCTCTTAGCAGTATTAGCCACGTTTAATTTAATATTATATTATTCATAAAAATTCATTTTTTTCCATCTATCTTTTCATTTTTTCTTAAAACAAAAAATCAAAATAAATTGAAAAAGGAAAAAAAATGTTAAGTTAAAAAACATTAAAATTATTAGTAATAATACTAAAACAAAATCTGATTTTACTGTTTATTGCATTGTTCACTTAATGTATATTGTGTTTTTTTTTTAATTATTCACTATGAGTGAAAAGCATTATTCATTCACTGTACACTTGCACTCTCTTTTTAAAACTTTTTTTAGCGGTTTGCAATTTTATTTTTCATTCGTTTTGATTCATGCATGTTAAGAGGAGTGAGAAACAAGGGAAAGAGAAGGGAGAAGAGAGAGGGCTGATGAGGCCCATTTCGGCCACTCTAAGAGTCGACCTTACCATCAATTTGTTCGTCTTGAAGAGTAAAATCCATTTGCAGTTGTGGGAAGCCATGAAATGATAAGAGGATGTAGATCGAAAACCCGACATATTTTTAAATTTATTTATTTTGATTTGAATTTTTATGTATTTTGTGTGAATTAAAATGAGTTTTGAATGAGTTTGTTAATGTTATTTTTGTAATTTTTGACAAAAATAGGGTTGAATTTGATTTTCGAGCCCAAAAATCATAAAATTAAACTTTTCGACCACCTTTCTAACGAAATTGAGGTCGTTGAAAATTGCCGAGGTCGCCGGAAAGTAAAAGTAAAGACAATCATTTTTTTTTCTCTTTGCCTAGGCTCGCGTGAGTGTAGTCCTTGGTTTTTTTTTTTTTTCTGTTTTTTAGTTTTTTTAATTAAGAATTTTTAGGTGAAAATTATAAAATATTGAATATTATTATTTGTGTTTTTCATACGAGTGCAACAAAAATAAAATATATACACTATATTTGTATTTCTTAAAGTTAAAATATATTTTAGATTATATCACTCTTATTATTAAAAATTTATTTTTGAATTGTTCATTTCTAATAAAATTATCATCCAATTAAATTTTTTTATATAAAATTTTATTTACAAATAAATATGATTTATTTTTCTCTATATTTTCATTTTAGAATAAAATTTTAAAATATGATTTTTTAAAATAAATTAATATAATATATATCATAATTTTTATAATTTTTAAATAAATTAATATATATATTTTAGATAAATTATATCAGTACATTAGATATGATTAAGACGTATAAAACTATTGAATCATTAATTTTATTAAAAATTAACTACAAATCTTCACTCATAATACAAACTATTTGCTATGAATATTTTTTTTAGCATTATAGAACCAATTTCTTTGAAATAAATAAATTAAAATATTTTTAAAAATGAACCACCTAATTATTCAAATAAAATTTTTTATGTAATATTATTGATTATTTTATAAATAAATACATATAGATCAAATGCATATATTTTCGAAAAAATAATCATCACATCGGCATTAAATAAGAATAAAATTTTATTTTTTTTATTAGCTATTTTTTATATAAGTTTATACATTAATAGTAATTTTATTTTTTGAATGCATTTTGATAAAAAAATATATATATTAAGAGTTTTTTTTTTTTTGAATTCTTGATTAATATTTCGATTTAAATTATTACAAGTTTTAATTTAAGAATCAATGTGTAAAGAAGAATAAATCATGTTTTTTAAATATAAAATTTATGAAAACAATAAAAAAATTAATAAAATAAAAAAATTTCAATGAAAAATTATAAAATTATAAAATGATTTTGTTTTGTCCAACTCGCAGCGTAGTGCATGAATTGCATGAATTGATTAGTAAGGACTAAAAGACTAATTAATTTATTTTTTTAATACTAGAGACAATAATTTATTCTTTTATTTCTTGTAGTCCCATGTGCTTCGAGGAATTGATATTTTTTACTTTTTGAACATTTTTCAAGGTAAATTCGGAGACCGATGGAAGATGTTGTTTGGCAAACTTAGTTAAACGAAAGGAAAGAAATCAAATCCAAGCACACAAGAATAATTAATTTATATAATTTTGCCAATGAGCCTAATTGAAAGAAAATTTGATTCTTTTTGTTACTACCCAACTTTTGCAGGACTCTTAAAATTTGATAAGATTTATTTGGAAGTTTTTGTTTGTTTTGAGGATATGAATTATTTATTAATTTCGGAGTCGTCACCTAATATTAAATGAGTCGAAATCTAAAATGGACATTAGTTAAGAGGATCTAGAATAAGGAGTTGATTATTTTTTAAAAGATATAAACTTTCCGAACATTTTTTGAGGTAAATTCATAAACCGATAGAAGATATTGCTCGGCAAACTTAATTAAACAGAAGGAAAGAAATCAAATCCAAGCAAACAATAATAATTAATTTATATAATTTTGTCAAGAGCTTGATAGAAAGAAAATTTTATTCTTTTTGTTACTACCCAATTTTTGCAAGACTCCTAAAATTTAGTAAGATTTATTCGGAAGTTTTTGTTTGTTTTGAGGATATGAATTATTTATTAATTTCGGAGTCTTCACCTAATATTAAAGGAACTAGGAATCTAAAATGGGCATTGGTTAAGAGGATCTAGAACAAGGATTTTGTTATGTTTTTGAAAAGGTATCAATTACCAAAAAGCGCTCTTTCCTAAAAAAAAGGTATTATTATCTAGTTTAATCCAAAAATCTATCTCCTAAGAAGTTTTATTTATGCCAAATTATTTCTAATTCAAACTTCAATTTTTATTTTATAGGCCAAATTAAATTTATTTTTGTTTGTAACATCATATTCAACCAATCGTTGGACTACTCCGTCGGATGTCACGTTAGTTCAACATTAAATTCATTTTAGGTCTCGACATAAACTCGTATAGCAGAGAACAACTCAATTACCAATGTCGTTTATTTTAACCAATATCGATCCCTATTAAATAAGAGACTTTGTTAATTTTTCCTAACATTTTTTATTATTTTCTATTGTTTATTTTATTTACCAAGGATTTTCTTCTTCTTTTTTTGGCATTTTTCCTTATATATATATATATATATATATATATATATATATATATATATTGTCTCTTTTATCTCTATTTTTTCTTCCTCATGGTTTTTCTTCACCGATTATTTTTTATCATTGTTGTTTTTTTTTTTATTTGGTGAAGAATCTTCATTAGTTTCTAAAAATTATGAGACTTGACGATTCATTCATCAATTAATTATCTATTATAATTCTTGAAAGAAAACGTAAATAATGCCCTCTTCCCGACCTTTAAACTACACCTATTTATACCAAATGTCCGCTAATCAAAACTAATTTTCCCTCTCCTTTCTTTCTTGTCGAGTCATTCGATCAAAGCTTTCTCTCCATTTTATTATTTCTTAACGCTCTAATCCTTTCCATTTTTTTTATTTTGCAACATGACTTGTGGATCAAGTAAGGATGGATCGATGAGCTGGTTGAAGGAATCAAATTCAGTTAGAAAACTAGGAGATCAAAACTCTTTCTAGCGAAACAATTTTAAAATGCATCTTAAATTTTTATTTTTTAGCAAATTTTCAAATCAGTCCTTCAATTTCCAATTTTTTTTCAATCATGTCCTCTAATTCATTTCAATCATGCTTTTAATTCATCATAATTTTTATTCAATTTGACCCCTATTAGCTTTCAATTTCAAGCTGATTTAATGTAATTATGCCCCTGATTAAACTTATTCTTTAGTTTTGTATTTTTTTATATTTTTTTCATTTTTTATTTCTTTTCTTTTTTTTAATAGTAATACTGAAATAAGATAAAATAAATATAAATACATAAATAAAAATGAAATGAAAAAAATGAAAATGGAATAACAATGAGGAATAGCTAAAATAATAAATAAAGAAGAATAAAATAAATATCAATAATAATAAAAATAAAAGTAAAACAAATA